TCATTGTTTTTTTTTTTTTGTTCTTTCTTTTCGGGGTTAACTGCAATGCGCTGCGGGCGATGAACGGCGGCCGCCTGGGCTCTCGCTGCATTTCTTGCATAGGCATATTGCCACTTACGATCCACATGGTATCCACGAGAAATATATGTACATACATATGTCTTTCGCCTGGGGTCCCTTAAAAAGGATTTGTGATAACATTTCATTTTTTATGTGTAAAAAGGGCATTATAAGTTTTTGTCAAATGCGCCGCAAGGCATATACATATACATATGTACATACATATACATACATATACATACATATGTATGCGCTTGGTCAGCATTAACAGTCGAGCCATGTACGCAGCTCTAACCGTTCGCACAAGCACACCGATAAGAGCTAGAGACAGTGAATTTTGATCAACATTATATCGAATCATCGATAACTCAATCTGTTTCTATGAAATCGATAGGAATCAAAGTTTAAATAAGGGCTTCAGAGCACATCTCGCAGTTAATAAGAGCTACAAACATCGCTCGTATCTTATACACTTATCCAGAATGTTCAACTTTAGGCATTCCACACGCCAAGTTTCCAAATAACTGATTTTAATAACTATAGCTATGGTCCTATATAGTATATACACATCAAATTTAAGCGCTGAACATTTCACAAAGCTCGTCTTGGTAGGGGGCCAAGGGAACAAGAAGCAGAGCTGCAGCATTGGCTTGTGTTGCATTTTCTTGAAATTTCTCGCACAATGCAGCACATGCCATTCGGCAAAAGCCACGTACTACTTTGCTGATAAACGATTTGCACTTATCCGCATGTTGCCAATATTCAGCAAATTGACACAAATTTTTCAAGGAAATGTAGCAATTTAAGTGGGCAGAAATGGGTTAATAACATTAATTGAAGGGCATTTTGTGGCACAGTTTTATCATATGCCACGTTCACACGTGCATTTTTATGTACGCATCAAGGCTTCAATTATATGTTGGAAGCAATTATTTTCAATAAAATGTAGAGAAAATTGATCAGAGTTCGACTAAAATTTCGATAGATCGATTGATTTAAAAGTACAGTTAACCAAATATACATATCAACGATATCAACTGAAAAAGCTTACATACTCCCAAGGAAATGAGAAGAAAAAAAAGTTGCGAAAATGCAAATTATGAATGTAAATGCAAATTGTTTTGCGCATCGCTATAAACATATGTATATATTTGGGCGCGTGTTTATGACTTGGACAGCTCAGACAAAAGTAAAGTCTCTGGCAAGGACAACGGCACGAGCGTTTCCTGCGGGTTGCTGCCATTGATTTTCATAAGCAGCGCTTAAATGCAAATTAAATGCCTATTAATTATGCGGGCGCACACGTACAGCTCAAGTGTTGTTGCCTAATATTGTGGGCTGCCCCTATTTTTGTTGTTGTATTTCGGCCTTCTTATGGCGTCATTACGCCCGCGCTGATAACGGTAAATAAAACACACAAGCACAAACATCAACAACAACAACAAAACTGACAAGTGCTGAAAAATTCATCAAAAAGCCAAACGAAATATATATGTATCACACACAGCACACCCACACGTGCTCACACACACAGACAACCGCCATTTATTTTTGTTTAACATCTCTGCATATTGTATGTTTGTACATCTGTATGTATATATGCATAGGTCTATACATACGTACATATATGCGTAGTTGGCAATGCACGCGCTTATCCCTTACGCATGTATGTCAATGCGTAAGTGTTCGTGTGTGTGTGTGTGTAATTGTGTCGTAATTGGCAGCCTGTGCTGCACCGATGACATCATGCAGCGGCGGAGACAGCGACGCGCCAAACACCTTCCAGAGTTGCCAACTGTCCTGCGTGTATGTGTGTGTGTGTGCGGCTAACATTCCAATTGGCCCCATTTTAAAAAGCGACTGACCAACGCGTACAGGCAAATATGCACATACATACATACAAGCCACAAGACATTCGCAATATGTTGTTGCACTTATATGTGTATGTATATGGTATGTATATGTCTGTATGTATGCGCTTACTGCTTGTGATGAGCGCGTGACGTAATCACTTAGTCACGCGAATCACGACCTAAAAACAAATATAAATAGCGGCTAACTACTGCGGCTCCGCCACTTACCAACACCCTTCTCACTTGTCGGCAACTGAAATTTAATAAAAATTCAATTGAATTAAATTTGCTCTCAATTTCGAAAACAATTTTTCCAGGCATTTACCTCGCAGACCTAAACTTGGCAAAAAATGCACGAAATTGAAAATGCCGATAAAAAAAAAAATGTGTAATCGATTTCGTGCGAACAGCTCCAACACTGGCGATAATTCATCCTGTTTGATGGGCGTTGAGCAAAATCTAGAGTGGGGGTAGGGGGCAACCCATTTGGTTAAGACAAAAAAATAAACACATGGCTTTGTTTATATATATGTATGTATATATATATATATATATCGTACAAAATGTTCAAACAACAAAAAATATTTATATATATATATATATATATATATTTTAAGAATTTTTAAATTATGTAATATTTGAATTGTTGCTTTTTGTTTGTTAACTGATCCTCTCAGCATTTAGTTGAAGAATGCGTGTTTCGGATTTCGATTTAGAATTGGATTATGAGACTATTCAGTATTTAATTTAGTTATTGCTGTTTACTATTTTTAGTTTCGAGTTTTAATTCGTTTTGCTAATTAAATAATTTATAGAAATTGTTGCCATGTTAGATTATTAATTGCTAAACTTTTTGTATTGTATGCGCTAAATTTGTCATTAATTATTAAATATTTATAGATATATGTATGTATATACATATACATATATTCATATTCATATACATATATATATAAATATATATATATATGCCATATTCATATTCATATTCGTATTTATTAAGACATAATTTAACGGCTATTTTTTGCATTGTATAAATTCTTCTTATGTTTTTTTGTTTATATTTATTTTAATGTTTTCAGTTTTTTGTTTTTTTTTTTTGTTTTCTATTTTTCACTTAAACTTTCCATCGATTTTCGTACTGGGCGTCATTTAAAATGCATATCAAAGTTCTTAATTACATACATATACTTCGGATAGTTAGGTTGTTGTTAATTTAAATAAATTTTAACTTTACGTTGCTTGCGTTCTGGATGGGACTTTAAATGGTAATTAAATACAAATATTACTTTTTATTACTCTTTTACTTTTTGCTTAATTGCCCGCTGCTACTTGTTTTTTTTTTTTTTTTTTTTTTTTTTTTTGTCTACGCTTTATTAGTAGGTAAATCTTTGACTTTCGTTTAATATTAGAGCTAAAATTATAAAAAGTTTACGTTCTTTTTTCGTTTCGCGAACTGTTTTTGAATCGCATTTTCAATATTTGTTTTCTTAGTGTTTAGCCCCACTTTGTTTTTATTTAATTATTTACTTTCTTTTATGTTTTGTTTTTTTTTGTTTTATGATACAAAATAAAAAAAAAATTATAATAATAAAAAAAAAGTAAAAGTACATTCAATTTGTTTAATAATTTGTAATAGGCATTGAAAATACGCCGGACTTTTATGATTATTTGCTTTAGTTAAAAAAATTTTCTATTTAGTTTTTATTTTTATTTTTTAATTGTGCGGCAAAACATTTATGTACTAAAAACCGAATCCTGTTGAAATGTTTAAAACGTCAGAGTATACGAAAATGGCGGCTTATTGTTATTAACTTTCAGTCTAAATGTTCTGTAATGTTCCAACAATAGAAAAACGCGTCGTTTAATAAGTATTTTGTTGAAAACGACTCGAAAATGTTGGCAGCATTGAGAAAGACACGCATTTTGAAAAAAGAACGCTCACAATATGTACTTATTTAAATGATTTAGGCTTTATTTAAAAAAAAAAAAATAATAATAATAAAAATATTAAAGAGCAGTAAAAGAAAAACATTTAATTGAGTTCATAATTTGTAAACGTATTCAAAATCGGCCGTCGCCGTTGTCGCTAGTCGCCAAAGTTAAAAAAAAAAAAATATACATATAGTATAGTTATATTATTAAATTGATATCTTTCGCTTAATATACATATATATGTGTTTGCCCTGCGTATTTCAATTATCTACAAGGAAGAAAAATTTGCTTTTATATCAATGCCGCCGGCGTGTCCCTCCCTCTGTCTGCCTGTCTGTCAGTCGAGCATAAAAACGGGGCCAATTGCAGCCAACAAATTGTTACAAAATTGATCAACAAAAAGTTTAATTAAAAAAATGATATAGAAAATTTTTACAAACAAGTGAGAGCGAGAGAGAGAGAGAGAGAGAGAAAGAAGAGAATTGTGGTCATATATTGAATTCGCGACTTAGTTAAACTGTTTGCTTGGATTACATAGTTCATATATATATATATATACATATATATCTATGTGTATATATGTTTTATATATATTTATATAAATTTGTTGTTTGTTTTTGCTGTTATTTTTGTTATTTTAATACGTACGTAGTTGGTGTTTTATATTTTCACTGCGGTTCGTTTTTTTTTTCCATTTTTCATTTTTGTTTTTTGAATTTTTTTGTTTTTTTTTTTTTTTTTTTTGTTAAGTATTTTTCGTTTTTTTAGTGTTTTCTTGTATTTTTGCTATATAAATTGTATAAACTGCCTGCCTGCCTGCTAACGCTGAACGCTTGTCAAATTTTAGTTTGTTTTTTTGTCGTTTTTTTCTCAGTTTTTTGCTGTTTTTTGTTTTGTTTTGTTTTTTTTTTTTTTTGCTTAAATGGTAAGAACGTAATTGTTTTTTTTTTGTTTTGTTTTTGTTTTGTTTTGTTTTCTTGGTTTACAATATGCATTACTTAATTAACAAATAGCAGCGCGCATATATGGACTATACGTACTTAGTATAGCTATATGCACGGCTCTAACTTTACCGCTGCTTACAGACTAACATTTAAAGACTTTTGTTGTTATTTCTATTTTGTTGTTGTTGTTCTTGGTGTTGTCGTTGAAGTTGTTGTTGTTGTTGTTGGTGTTGTCGTTCAAGTTGTTATTTGTTGTTGTTGTCGCCGATGTTATTGTTTCTTTTGCTCCAATTTCCAGCAAACTCATGTGATAATAAAGTTATTTCGCATTGTTTGTTTGTTTGTTTTTTTGTTTTCTTTCTGTTAAGTTGCTTTGCTGCTATGGCTGACGCGGGGGATAGGGCCAGCCAAGTGTTTTTTATGTGTATTATGTATGCATAGTACATAGCGTTTTTATATAATAGGTATATAGCGTAGTTATTAATTATATTTTTGTATTGTTTTTGCATTTGCTTCCATCTCATCCGCTCGACTCTTCATATATATGCATTCCGCCTCTTTCACACAAATGATATATGCCCCTATCATTTTCATTAGCTCTTTTTTGTTGTTTGTATTGTTATTTTGCTGTTTGTTTAAATATCATTTAGGCATATTAAAGGTATCCAGAGCCGCCGCCTAGTTATCGCCATTGTGATTCATATTCTGTTGCAGCTCCTTAAGCTTTTCCTCGCGCGGCTTGGCATTGCCGAATATGGAGGCCGATTGTTTGGTTTCAGCCACCGCGTTAATGGGCGCCGCAATAGTTCGCGGCTTTAGCTGGAGGCGTGGCCGCTCCGTATCATCTGCAACAATATCCAAATTATTAGCAGTCATATTGGAATCTTGCCTCATCGAATTGTTACCAATGGCGCCCATTGCAACGCCGCTGGGACGTTCCTGCTGCTGGTTGGGATTATAGTGGGTGCGCTCGCGGTCACGATGCCGGCTGAAGTTGTTATACCGATCGCCATCGCGCGACTGGTTACCATAGCTGCCTTCGCGTTGGCCACGATCCCGATCCTGATTGCGATCAAAGCGCTCGTCATTGTTGAAATTACCATAACGGCCACGATTTGCCGGGCGATCTGCAAAAACGTGCATATTGTAGATATTTATATATATGTATATGTATACATTTCTATATAAATAGATATATATATTATTTATAATATATATTTGGCATCAGTTTAGTGATACGGGCTGTCTACTGCCTAGAATTAAACTACGAATCGAACCATGGTATCAAGCAGCATGCGTAGAGCCCAGTTTTAGTTATGTATAATATTAATCATATTATATTATTTGAAGCGTGCTACAATTGCATTCGAAATCAATTTGTTTCTTAAATAAACCTGAGTATTATTTATGTGTTGATGTGGTGCATGAATATGTATGTAAATTAAAATAAGTTTCAAAGGTTTTAGGGCACAACTAAATACAAATAAGTATCATATATAGGCAAATAGCTGCTCCGGCGTGGATAGAACAGAAACAAACTAAATACAACCAATTTAGAGGAGATAACGTCGGAGGACAATGTCCAAAAATAAAATATAAATAGAATAATACAAAAATGAAAATAATAGAAAATAATGCCAGAAACTATGTGGTCTGTTCCGGTTTTAAATTCGTTTTCCAGCGCAAAGCAAACGTGAAATTTGTATCGAATTTCAAAATTTGGAACAGCCACAAATGAAGTTAGGGGTAGGAGAAGGCTTAATATAACGACTAGGCAAACAAAAAGTGCATGATAGAGTGAAAGGAATATATATAAGAGTTCGAAACTGGTGGGTCAGGTCAATATATTATATATATATATATACATATATATACATATATATGCAGATCTGGCCGCTTTAAGGTCACGCGTATGTGGTTTTCTTTTTCTTTTGTTGTCCATGCGAATTTGGCGAACTACAATTTGGTTGGTTTTTTGTTCAGGACTACGAATATGCATCTACGTATTTGGTTGGAGGTTGTAGTAGGTTGCACTTGCGTGGCAGATAATAAATGCTTTACCATTGTATCCTCTATTCATGCCGGAGCTGGCGCCGCCACGACTTCTATCACTGTGACCACCATAATTATCATTGTACGAACCTCTACTATCGCCACGATTACCAGAGCCGCCGCCGGCCTCGCGACCGCCGCCGGTGCCAGGACCGCCTCGGCTATACGATTGACTGCTGCCGCCCTGACGTGGTGGTCCCCGTTTCTGGAAGCCATCTCGACCGCCATCGCGGCTCATGCCGCCGCCATTGCCGCCGCCGCCGCCAATGCCGCCACCAGGGCTATACAAAGCAACAACAAGGAGATTAGTCGAAAATCTATCAATGAATATAAGATGACCGACTTACCGTTCATTTTTCCTGCGATCAGCAATGTCTATCCGCAGCGGGGCCGACAGATCATCCAACTTTATTCGACCATCACATTCGAGGGCACGCTCCAAATTGTCCAACGTCTCGAACTCCACATAACAGAAGCCCTTAAACTGATCCGTTTCGCGATCCTTGACAAGTCGCACGTTTTTCACCTCGAAGTCATTAAATATTTTCATAACATCTCCCTGAACGAGACCCTGTGGCAAGTTGCCCACGTACGCAATAAATGGGGGTTCCGTTGGCATTTGCTTCACATGCCGTTCGCCTCCAAAGCCACCTCTAAAATAAAAATCAAATTCAATTAAATAAAAACAAACAAGAAAATAGCGGTTAGTGGGCGAACTATAACCGACAACAACAACAACCGCAGCAGCAGCAGCAGCAGCAGCAGGCGCCGGCCCGGCTGCGACGTCAACGCACGTGTGACCGAACCGGAGCCGAACCGAACGCATTCGAATAAAACAAAAACAGTTGCCGCTCGAATTACAAGCAAACATCACCAATAACAAAACGGAGCGCAGCGTTTTGTATATAAAAGGAAGACAATATACTGCAGTAAAAACAAAAAGCACAAACCGAAAAGAAAAAATTGAAAGAAAAACAAAAAAAAACGCGCGCGCTTTTAATTATGTTGCGGCAAAAACTGTGCAGAAATTCGCCCATAAATCTGAATGTCTATTTAAAGCCGCCCATAACTATCGAAGGCGGCGCTGGCGCTGCTGCTATTTTGCCAGTTAAATCCAAAGGCAAATAGCGTACCGCCGACGTCGGCGTCGGCAGCGGCGTCGGCCAACGGGCGACAGCGCTTAAATCGTCCGAAAAAAAATAGCAAAGAAAAAGAAATGTGGAAGAAAAAAGAAAAAAAAAAACACGCACACTTGCGAACACACACGTACACATACTGCCGCACGCACGTATATATGTATGTATGCACGTACATTTTTAGGGTGTGTGTGTGTGTGTGTGCGTAAGTGTGTTTGTGTTTCATGTGTGTGTGTGTGTGTGCGTGTTGCTTGACTTTTGCTTAAACCGCGTGCATTATTATACATTGGAGCACTTTTGCACTTGCTGGGGAACACACGGCGAACGAACTTGCACCTTTTATACACAATTTCGGCTTGCTGGCTAGCACTGTTTTTAAATTATTTAATAATATTTACCTAGCGTGTTCATAACCACCTCTTCCAGCCATGTTTTATTTTTTTCAAATGAGCGAATTCGCTGCAATCCGCAGACTGACTACCAAGATTGTCGCCGTGTGCACGCGCTCCAGTGTGTACACACCATATGCTAGCGGCGCTAGGGAAAACACCCACTACTTCGAAACCGCTATCACACTCGAAGTTTGACTCAAAAATATATAATTCAAATTGCATATATTTTTTGCAGTTGTCGCAGTTAAATACAATTCTTTTGATTAAAAATCACAGCCAGGTGCATTAACAGGCAACACTTACAACAAATTCGCCGAAGGTACCTTTCGCATTGCTCAACACTAAATACCACGGAATGACAATATCGTTGGCCTGAGTTAAAAACCTTCATCTCTATTATATAATGATGGATTTTGCAATTTGAATAAAAAGATTCGCGCATTTTATATAAATCAATTTAATATGTTTTCTTGTCTTACTGACAAAATGACAGAATAATCTATCGATATATCGATGCAAATTCGCCGCTTGAAACTCGCCCAATTTGTCATTAAACAACACTGTTACCGCTCGGTTGCTTCTTCTTACGCCTTGTTTCGGCCGAATTGTACACGTTTTTGCTGCAATTTTGTTGGCATTTTCTCTTTAGTTTGCGCATATAATCAACCTAAATACAATTTGTACTCAAACGCAGCAAAATGGCACTAACGTCACGCTTCTACAATGAAAAATATCCGGAGATCGAAGATGTCGTCATGGTTAATGTGCTCTCCATAGCCGAAATGGGCGCTTACGTCCATTTGCTGGAGTACAACAACATTGAGGGCATGATCTTGCTCTCAGAGCTGTCTCGTCGTCGCATACGCTCCATTAACAAATTGATTCGCGTGGGCAAAACAGAGCCAGTTGTTGTCATACGTGTGGATAAGGAGAAGGGCTATATTGATCTATCCAAACGTCGTGTTTCGCCCGAGGATGTGGAGAAGTGTACCGAGAGATTTGCTAAAGCGAAGGCAATCAACTCCCTGTTGCGCCATGTGGCTGATATTTTGGGCTACGACAGCAGTGAGAAGCTGGAGGAGCTCTACCAGAAGACCGCCTGGTATTTTGAAAAGAAATACAACAGCAAAACGGTCGCCTATGACATTTTCAAGCAATCGGTAACCGATCCATCCGTTTTCGATGAATGCAATCTGGATGCGGAGACAAAGGAGGTGCTGCTGAGCAACATCAAACGCAAACTAGTCTCGCCCACAGTCAAAATACGCGCCGATATCGAGTGCTCGTGCTATGGTTATGAGGGCATCGATGCAGTCAAAGCATCGCTCAGCAAAGGCCTCGAGCTGAGCACAGAGGAGCTTCCCATACGCATCAATCTGATAGCACCGCCGCTGTAAGTCAACTTTGAATTGAACTAAATTCTCACACATTAATTAATTCCTTCTTAGCTATGTGATGACCACATCCACCACAAAGAAGACAGACGGACTCAAGGCACTGGAGGTGGCCATTGAGAGCATACGCGCCAAGATAATTGAATTCGAGGGCGAGTTCAAAGTAATAATGGCGCCCAAGCTTGTTACGGCCATTGATGAGGCGGATCTTGCGCGTCGTCTTGAGCGCGCCGAGGCTGAGAACGCTCAAGTGGCTGGCGATGATGACGAGGAAGATGCTGCCGATCAGGAGGGTATGCAATTTGATCCCGAGAAGGAATTCAATCACAAAAGCTCTACACTGCGTGCCAACGAGGACGACGACGAAGAAGACGACGATGAAGAGTAGATGATAACAAAAACAAAAAACACACCAATTCGAACTAAAGCAACAACACCCAGCATAACAACAAGAGCAGAATTAATAAATTAATATGTACATTATACATATATATATAATATATTTATATTTATATATGTATATGGGCTGTATGTACACGCGTGCGTGTGTATGTGAGTGTGGTCTGTGTGTGTATGTGTGTGGGCATATACACCTGAGAAAAAGAAACGAAAAAAAAAAAAAAAACAATAGAACACAAACTCCCGAAGCAGGTGCATTCATTAAAGCCGGTGACTGTTACTTTTTCCAAATCATCGTCGGCGCCAGAGACTTTAACTAGAATATGTGTAGATATATACATATGTACATGCTATGGTTTATACATTTATAAATAATACATAAATAAAATCTAAAAGAAATTGTCCAACAACCACAAAAATATGAACAGCTGCCTTCAGTCAGTTTTTGCATTTATCTAGCATCAAGATCGGATTGCAATATTGCGAATGATTTCATAATCTTTACCAAGTATATTCGTTGCTTGGCCAAACGCTATATGAATTGCCAATTTAGCATATTCTGGGAAACCAGAACTTGATGGGCAGATATTCTTCAAAAAAGTTCCAGCGGGCAAACACAAAACTTGACAAAATACAAGTACAATTTTGAGGGCAGCCTTTTCATTCCGTTCCAATCCAAAACAATTCTCATTTTATTTAACCAATTCACTTCTCACATTATTGTTTTTTTTTTTTTGTATGATTATAATCTTAATACTAGCTCAAATTTGTATAATTATAGTGCGTATTTTATATAGTCAGGCATAGTTTGCAATATGTTTCAAATTAGTTATTCGTTGTATTTGCAATCTGGTCGTATTCCCAGACAGATAAAAGTCGACTTTCGAATTAATAAAATTTAAGTGCTAGAAAAAAGATAGGCATATGAGTTTTCTCAATCTCTCGATTAATTAGCTATTGTACAAAGACACGTTTAAGTTAATATGTATATAAAAATGTTTTTAGTTTGACAAAAATTGCTCTAAATTCAAATAGCAAAACTATGTTAAATTATATCGGAATCGTTATTGTGTTGATATTGCTTTTGAATTCGTTGTGGTTCTGTTTGTGTTTGTTGTTGTGGTGGTGGTGGTGGTGGTGGTGGTGATGGTGTTGTCATTGATGATGGTTCTAATATTGCAATAAGGTTTTGATTGTTCCCAGAGCAGTAGAGGAGGTGCAGTAGCTGAACGCCATGGAGCCAGCGTTCAGCTAAGTCCACCACCACCGGCGGCCGCATTCCGGCCGAGCAGCATCGAGCTGGCGACCGCCTTATTGCCATTGCATAGCCTCAACACAGTGAGCACATCGCCCCGCGGATAGCCCAGCTGCATCAAATCGTTGACATCCTGCTCCGTGAAACGATCCAGCGGCTGTATTGAGTTAATATTGCTTATATCAAAGTTGGCCCCAGTGCTTGCGGCAGCTGCGGCTGTGGCCGTGGCCGTGGCCATGGCGCTGCTGGTGCTGGCTCCACCACTTTCGCGCTTGCTCTGCTCAATTGCCTGGGCAATGGCTTGCTGTTCGTTATCCTCTGGATTGCCTGTGAGCCGGGCACAGGCTGGCAGTTCGCTTTCCGGTAAAAAAGGTGTAGACGTGCCTGTGGTGCCAATGATCAGCAAATTGCGCTGCAAGTCGATAAGGCACTGCAATCGACAAGAGGGAGACAGTCATATATACATATATTAATATATGTGTTACAACATTAACAAGAAGAACAGCTTAAGCTTAACTAATCACAGAGCTGGGCCATACGATATAATTTACTCACCTGATGACGCTTGAGCATGTCCAGGCCCAATAGCATGTCCATGGGCTGTTGGCCCAACACTGTAAAGCTGGACGTCAAATGGTCGTTCTCAATCTGTAGCTGGACCATGTGTATGCGGCCCAGTATGGGCTGTGTGCCGACGCCTTTGGCAACGCCGTTCCAGCGTGTATCAATGAGACGATTAACATGGCAGCGCTCCGCACAATCCTTGCTCATGATTGTCGTCTGTGCGCCAGAGTCAACGAAAGCCTTGACCGGCACACCGTTCACCTTGCAGTTGATGTAACTGTGAGCGATAGAATCATGAATTGGTTAATTTTATTTGGTATTGTGATATACTCACAGCATAGTGACAGTGCCAAAGATTTCCGGATTGTATTCAATGGCCGCTGCCATGTTGTCCTGAATGTTCTTTTGCTTGATCTCCTCGGCAATGAGCCGCTGTGTCTCCTCATCGAACGGATCCGCATTCAGCATGCGCATGCGCTGCTCATTGCGACGCTTCCGCTCTGCAATGTGCTCCCGCAGAACTCTCGCAAATGTCTCCGAATCGCCCGAGTCGAGTGCCTCGGCCAGCCGCGTATTGTATTGACGCAACAGTGCCAGCGTCTCCGGACTATTCAAGAACATTTGACGCACTATCGCCGGATCATCATCAAAGTTCACATTGAACTCATCTGTCATGGGCACATCGGTGAGCTGTTGCTGCTCCAGATGCTGTTGCAGCTGCTGCTGCAACTGCTGCTGCATATTGACGGGCCCGGGCGTGCCGGCAGCAGCGGCATTCTGTGCGGGCGGACTGCCACCTGTTGTACTCGTGCCCGGCACAGCAATGTTGCTAAAGTCCAGATGACTTATCGATGGATTGTTGCCAGCTGAAATAGTTGGGCACATTTTAAATTGCAGAAATGCGAACAAATCAAAATAGTAATTCTTCTAAGATTACAGGATTCGATTCTTATGCAATTTAACTAGCTTAACTAGCTCTTAAAGTTAATTATACAAAAAAAGAATGACAGTTAAATCTAGCACAAATATTAATATTGGATCAGTTGCGAATGAAAGTGGCGATTAGTATATGAATATATATGTATAATCTTCGACGATAAATATTTTGTTTATATTAGCAATCGACCAATTTTCTTTGTTTTATAGAATAAATAAATATTTCAATTTTATTTATCACTGAAATCGGAACATGCCAAAAAAAAAAAAAACGATGCTATTGTACATACATGTACATAAAAAGGTCAAAGTGGGAGGGAAAGGTACAGAGCCTAATCCTAGCCTAATCAATTTAACTAATGTATGTATGTATGTATGCATATGCATTATCCTCATATCTACATATGTATGTATGTATGTATGTGGCTGTTGTATGCGTAAATGCGCATTCAAATAACGCCTACACTTCGGGTGCAGGCTAATAAGTATTAAAAAAAAAAAGTGACAGTCAATTTAAAACGATAGCAAATTGCGCGCGCCCACGCGCAAAAAATAAAAAAAAAAAAACTGAAGTATTCGGACAATGAACGACCCCATGTGTACAAAACATACACATATGCATATGCATGTAGGCATGTTAGGCAAGGCCAAACGCGCATGGGGTCACACTGAAAAAGTCTGCAGCTGCATGCGTGTGAATTGGATAAGCTCTGTGTGTGTGTATGTGTGTGTGTGTATCGATAATAGCATTGCAGGTAAATTATCAAAATCAGATCAACATTTACATGTGCGCATGCATGTCTGTGCATGCGTGTTTGTGTGCCAGTCACAGTACACACTGTAACGCTGTATAAGTGTGTGCGAGGTCCAATTTACTCTGCTGTGGCTGTGCTGTGTTTGCATTTTTTTGTCTTTCAAATTTGGAATGTGCAAAAAAGCTCAACAATACATTTATAGTATAGCTTGAGCAATAATGTGTAAAGAAACACATATTTATTTTTAAATTAAAATTTCTTATTTTCCAAAAGCACCATACACAAAGAAACACATACACACAGAAGCACACACGCAGGCGTATCAATGATGCACTGCTGACCAGGAGCAGCGGCCTAGAGCGCGTGCATTGACCTAGTTTAAACAGTTAGAGCAACGCGCGCGCATCTTATTGGGTTTGGAATTGTGGAGTTAGTAACTCACCGGTACGATTGGGATTGCTCCGACGTCGCTGCAGCACAATGCAATCGCCGTCGCGCACACCGAACTGCTGAAGCGATTGCTTGTCATTGGTCAGCTCGCGGCCATTAAAAAGCACCATAATTTGGCTAACCTCAGTGCCAATTTCCATGGCACAGAGTGCCTTTAGGTTCTCCAGTTCTAAATCTTCGGCAACATCTAGAAAGAAAAGTTTATCATCGGTGGTGGTGACGGTGATTTTCATCGCGGTGGCGGCGTTCAATTCTGTTGTTTATCAGATCACAATGGTATTTTTTTTTTTTTTTGGATTTTTGAACACAGTATTTAGTAGTGATCCCTGAGCAAAAGTTGTATGTTGCGTTTGCCGCATATGCGTATCAGTACAGCGCAAATTAATAAATGCGTTTGAATTTCGTTCTTGGCTTCACGTTCGTCGTCTTTTTATTTTTCCTTCTTGTTCTCTTATTCGCTTTTTGTTGCCTATGCTTTGTTGTTTTGACACAACGAAAACGCCGCTGCCGCTAGGTATGGGTGGGCATGTGCATATACACCAACGATTCCGATATATGATTGATTGCATGCGATGTTATTTGCAGTGCTGGAAAGTACACTGACTAGTCAGCTAATTGGTACATATTTGATTTTGGCCAGAAAAGAAAATAATAATAAATAAAAACTGCATTTATTTTGAATTTAAATATATATTAAAAAAAAAATAAAAATAAAAATATTTTCCACAGCCAACTGTTTTGAACGAAAACATTATGTGCCGATGAATCGATATCAAGATCAAATTCGGTATTTTCACTTAGTAGATCAGTTAGATATGTTTTAGGGCAGCTTAAAGGTTCTTTTAATTATATTTCCGGTTGGCTCAAAGCATGTTTGCCATGTTAATAATAATAATCCATTATTTTTGTTTTTTTTTTTTAATATGCCAGTGTTAATATTTACCCTAAATTGCATTGTTATTTATTCATTAGTTGCTCATCGATATATGCTTATCGATAGCATCTCTGAAACGCGAAATTTCTTGTATTATTTGTGTATTTGGGTGAGCGAATTTGTGACGACTGGTTAATTTTCAAGTTCGTTATCTAAAATTTGTGTCGCATTGGTGGTCGTCAGTACCGTGTATAAAGCGCCATGTCGACGCAAAATGTGGGAAATGAAGAAAACGCAGCCCCAAAGTCGAAGCGACCTTCAGGTGAAAACTGAGTTAATTTTACATACAAGCACCCACACTCAAGTAACAAGTTGTTGATGGGACAGCTTGGACACCCAGCCTGACTAATGTGTTCGCGCGTTTGTGTGTGTATTTGTGATAAGAGACCAAAGAGTGACTAATACTGAACCGAGTGCCCATTACGAATGTGATCGATTTTTAAAGGCGAGCCTCTTAAAAACCCACCAAACGCACACAACGCAACACAACACAACACAACACACCCATCCACCCACCCACAAACATGAATCACAGTCATTTTTAATTTTGCCAACAGATTCAGCTTTTAAGCAACAACGCCTGCCCGCTTGGCAGCCCGTGCTGACCGCACGAACGGTTCTGCCCACCTTCTTTGTCATTGGTGTCCTATTCATTCCCATTGGCGTGGTGCTGCTGTACTTATCCAATTCATCCAATGAGCTCATCATTGACTACACTAGGTGCATGCAGGTCGACAGTAATAGGACCTGCGCCGATTTTCTGGAGGACACAACGGGCGGTGAATGCTCCTGCAAGATTAACTTTAATCTGACTGAAGACTTTATTGCAAGTATTCAATGAGAACAATTAAATTCGATTCAACTGGAGAAAACACATTCTAAATACTCGAACTCTAACGCAACAGGGCGACGTGTACATGTACTATGGCCTGACCAATTACTATCAGAATCATCGACGATATGTGAAATCACGAGACGATGAACAACTGCTGGGTCGCTTGTCCTTAACGCCAAGTTCAGACTGCACGCCATTTGCCTATGCAGATAATGGGAAACCCATAGCGCCTTGCGGGGCCATTGCCAATTCCCTATTTAATGGTATCTTATGCTGCACCTTTCACTGTTTGTTCACCGAATGTATTTAGTCGTGTTTTTCATTTCAAGATACACTGACACTGAGCCAAGGCAGCTCGAATATCAAATTATTAAATACGGGCATTGCATGGCCATCGGATAAGCGCGTCAAGTTCCGTAATCCCCCTGGCGACCTGGAAAAGGCTTTTGAGCCATATGAAAAGCCGATATTCTGGCAAAAACAAGTCTATGAATTGGATGAAACAAATGACGCTAACAATGGTTTTCAGAACGAGGATTTAATCGTGTGGATGCGCACTGCTGCCTTGCCCAGTTTTCGAAAGCTATACCGTCGCTTGGATCAAACAAATAATAGCTTTACGAGGGGCCTTAAAGCCGGCGAATACACGCTGGACGTAAAGTATAGTAAGTGTTGTATTAATCTCTAGTAGATATCGGCTACAATAATTATTATATTGTTTATTTGCAGAATATCCCGTGGTCTCGTTTGATGGCACCAAGCGTATGATTCTATCGACAACATCAGTGCTGGGCGGTAAAAATCCATTCCTGGGTATTGCCTACATTGTTGTTGGTGCCATTTGTTTGATACTTGGACTGGCGCTCCTCTTCATTCATATGCGCTGCAGCCGTAGGTAAGTTGTCGGCTGTGTTACGGCTTCTCTTTCATTTGAAAACTGGCTCGCATCCATTAACATTGTCAATACCCAACTACATATATTCTACACTTTACATTTCCCGCCTACATCATAGCATTGAGTTGATTTGAAGCTCATGCCTCTCAAGTCCCATCAAATAAAACAAAAAATGTCTAAATGGCTGTCAAAGCAAACGAGCTGTTGGTGCGTGATAAGTATAACCATATTTCCGTCAGCTTATCAGCGCCAGTTATGATTGCAATCATTTCAAAATATAACTAATCTATTTTTTTACTTTGTCTCGCCCTTCTGGAATATATAGCAGCAACATGGAGATGATAAACGTTAATCCACATACGCAGTACTCCTAGAAGCAATTGATTCGATTTGGGAGTAATTTTGGCAAAAGCTTCTCTCGCCCATGCACCATTATTTAGCTATAATATCTTGTTTAAGCATAATTGTCTATGTATATCCTTGTAACAGAATACACACAATTAGTTTCTATTAGTATTTATGACACTGTACGGCATCGTTGGCTGTGCCTTTTGTTACCATTTTGTAATGTTTTTTTTTTTTGTTTTTTGTTTTTGCACTTTTAATTATATGTATGTAATGTTTGTTAATGATTCGTCTTGTAATGCATCTGATCACATACGCGACTACTATAGTACTACTATTGCCTCATCCTGATAAATTAGAAAAGTTTCCCCACATAAATGCATAGAAAATATTTAAACAATTAAACTTTAGACTATGAGTGCCTGTGCCGCAATTTGGCATTAACACATATGTTTTGTATGGCAGCCGTTTAAAGCAGACGCTATAGAAATATTTATAAATATGCATTGATATTTTATTAAATTTGTGCAATACATGTTGATCCAAACAAAGAAATTGATTTTATTCTTTCAATCGAGCTGTCTGTTGCACAAGTCGGGCATGGGAAAAGCAAACAGTTAATGCTTGCAGCAGTGTTGGCTAATGATGTTAATGGACCGTGCTTGAACCTTACCAACACGGTAAGCGCGGTCTCAAACGTCTAGCGAATACTTTACATTACAGCACTTACCAAACAACATATGTGATTACAGTTAGCTTTTGCGACTAGCATGTGATGTCGGAATCAGTGTTGAACAATGTGATACAGTATTGAGCGGGAACAAATTAATTCAAAATACTTGTATATGGAAAAGACATGCAGTAATATATGAAATTATTTCATATATTACAATAATATATGTCATATTACAATAAAACATTATCTTTGGTAAAATAGACTGCTGCAAAAGACGACAACTATGCATTTAAGTATTTATACACGTATAATAACGAAAAGGTGGCAATATTTCAACCTTTATTATTCTATTTCTCCGATCGCGAATTATCAACCATTTTGCTTTTTACATCAAGAAAATCGTCCAGCCAGTTTTTGAGAAATTCGCATTATTCTAATTTTCTTATTATACCCCCTGTTATGCAAAAAAAAACCCCTTGTTTACCCATATTGTAAATTAAAATTCAAGAATAAATGAATGTAGATAGTAAATAATTAAATTTTTTGCAATTCTGCATTTCGTGCTTAAAAACATAAATAAATGCATTTGAAAGTGACCGATACTTTTCCGATACCAAGTAACAAAATTCGACGCTAACTCACCGCCGCTAATTTGACGCACATTCGTACTCGATGCCCATTGTCGTTGCAATCGTTATCGATATCGGAGACATTCCATTGGGCAATAGCCATTTAAAAAAAAAGCAAAAGCAAAAACAACAATGCACGATAAAACTGGACGCAATATGAGCTGAAAGCTTGTTTACGTGTCCGTGCCTTCTTCATAGCCGAAAAATCGCCGAAGAAGCAACGCGCACGGCAGGCGGGCAGAGCGTACTGTCTAAGCAATTGTTTATCACCGAAACAGGTGTTTCCCTTTATTATTATTTTCTCTCTTTCCGTTTTTTTTTGTTTTTGTTTTCGTTTTTGTTTGGCTTAAACACTATTTTGCCTTAAAGTCACGCTTTGCCGGTTCTGATACCAAAACAGACGCCAAGCGCAAAATGAATATACACGGTAAGTGCGTATAGTTCTTAGTTATAGCCCAGCTAAGCAAATAGTTGACCATTTACCCACTGACACAATGGTCTCCACTCTTTCTACTCGTGCAGTTAACACCAACACCCTGAAGTACATAAGTCTGCTGACTTTGACGCTGCAGAATGCGATCTTGGGTCTCAGCATGCGCTATGCCCGCACAAGGCCAGGGGACATATTTCTTAGCTCCACAGGTGAGGCACTGCTCAGACAACGTAAGCAGATGCGTAAGCAAATACAAGCACACACACACACACACACACACACACACACACACATGCATGGATACACTTAGTTGTAATGGGGCCGCAAAAAGGTTCGCTCAATTATAGCGAACTACAACAACTAACCGAGCAAAGCTGATAAGCAAATCATGTTATATACTTCCTGTGTGCTGGTGTATGTCTGTATGTTAGCGTGACGTATTGCTTTGGCCGACTCTTGATGTTGCAATTTATCATCTTGTTATTAATAATTTGTCGCCCGTTTTATATGTTTTCGCAGCGGTGCTGATGGCCGAGTTCGTCAAGCTGATCACCTGTCTGGTGCTGGTCTTTAATGAGGAGGGCAAGGACGCCCAACGGTTTGTACGTTCCTTGCACAAGACCATTATCGCCAATCCTGTGGACACGCTTAAGGTGTGTGTGCCGTCCCTGGTATATATTGTGCAGAACAATCTGCTGTATGTGTCGGCATCGCATCTGGATGCGGCCACCTATCAGGTGACATACCAGCTCAAGATACTGACCACCGCCATGTTTGCCGTTGTTATACTGCGCCGAAGGCTGTTTAACACACAATGGGGCGCCCTGGTTCTGCTCGTCTTGGGCATTGTATTGGTGCAACTGGCTCAGACGGATGGCGGTGGCAGTGCTGGTGGTGGTAATGAAGCCGCTTCTTCAGCGCCAACGGCAACAATTTCATCATTGGCGCCCGCCCAGAATCGCATGCTGGGCTTATGGGCGGCACTGGGCGCCTGCTTTTTGTCGGGCTTTGCTGGCATATACTTTGAGAAGATACTGAAGGGTGCTGAAATCTCCGTATGGATGCGCAACGTGCAGCTCAGTCTACTGAGCATACCGTTCGGACTATTGACCTGCTTTATTAACGATGCCAGCCGCATCTATAACTATGGTTTCTTCCATGGCTATGATCTCTTCGTTTGGTATCTCGTGCTGCTGCAGGCGGGTGGTGGCCTTATTGTGGCCGTCGTTGTTAAGTATGCGGACAATATACTTAAGGGATTCGCCACGTCGCTGGCGATCATCATCTCGTGCATTGCATCCATTTACATTTTCGATTTCAACCTAACGCTACAGTTCAGTGCCGGCGCAATGTTGGTCATCGCCTCAATATTCCTTTACGGCTATGATCCTGCCCGTTCTGCCAGCAAGCCTGCGACGCACAATCATCCGGCCGATGAGGAGAAGCTGCTGCCGCGCGTCTGAGACAATAATGCATCCGACTCCAGACCTAATCCATGGCAACAACATATTGCCAACAGTATTGTATTGTCGTTTGTTTAGCTATCTCTTTCCTTTGGGCACCTCCTGCCGCCCATGTGATGATCGTTCGTGTACTTCAATTTGATATTTGTACTGCTTTTGATATTCCATGCGGAAATATTTCGCATTCCCACACAGCCTCATACATTTGTATGTATGTATATATATATATATATATAAATATTTATACATTAAGTCCCATTGATCGAATTCAAAAAGGCTCGGGTCCACATTATGTATTTATAGTTCATATAACCTGTGCCAGGCCACTCAGTAAATTTGATGTGTCGAATAAATTGAAAGCATAATTTGACCAAGTAAAGCTTGGAGCATTTTATTCAATGCAATTTTAAGCTATATTTGGAAACGTTGTTTTTCATTATTATTAAATATTGGCATGGTAAACCGATTCCGTGGATGACGTCCGATTAAGAAATACGGGATTTGGCAAGATGTTTAGGCAAGAAAAAAAAGAAAAGAAAATGAAAATCGGTTCTTCACTGAGGCGTATTACGTAAAGTGCAATTCGTTTAGTTTATAGGCCCGATGGAAAAGCGTATCCAGTAAGTCTGGCCTAACTGAAAGTTTTTATTTTATGCAGTAAAATATACATATGAATGTGTAACATTAATGAGGAAATCAAATGGTAGGTAGGTCTTCGTTGATCCTAACTAACGAGCTTAAAGAGTATTTTTTCTTCTCCTTCTCCTTCTTCTTCTGCTGAGCGTGCACTAACTTAAAACTTAACAAAATAGAATAAACTATGAAAACGTTGTTGTTAAAAAAAGTGAAAGAAAAAAAAAAGAAAAGCTAATCACACCAGGCCAGGGTTACATCATCGACGGAGTTCTGCAAGGCAAGGACCAGCTCGTAAATGCGCAGCGCTGGGCCGAGCTTTAGGCCGAACCGATCGATGATATCCTGGCGCGTTAGCACCATTAACGCAGCACCATCAATTTCCTGTGTCTTGAAGACGTCAGCCTCACGCGGGTAGTACTTCTCCACATAGCTAACCACCTCATCAACGTTCCAGGTCTGCACGGTCGACGATGGTTCGCCGCTATCGGGAACTGCTGTCTGAGAAGTATTTGTACTCTCTCCATTCTCTTTGTCTTCTACTGAACTTGGCAAAACTGGAACCGGGCCCGAGGCGGTTGGCGGCGACTGTGGCGGCTGTGTCGCCTCCTTAGTCTCTGTGCTGGTCTCGTTTTCTTGCATTGACAGCGTTGTCGTTGCGCTTGGGGAAGCGTTAACTACAGTTTGAATTTTGCTGGGACTGCTGCAACGGTCGGTTAAGCCATTTTTAGTCATCACTTGATTGGCGGCTATCTTTTTGGCAACGACAACAGCTGGATCAGAAGTGGCCCGCTTCTTGCGTCCAGCTTTGGATTTACGCGGCGGCGACTGTGGCTCTATTTTGGCGACATCATCGTCAGTATCTAACGAGTTGTATCTGGGATCACAGCTGTAGCACTTCCATTTGACGTCATCCAACTTGTCGCGCATTACGCGCGGCCAATGGCAGTCCAAATGATAAACATTCGCACAGACACAGCACATCAACAGCTCCTGGACTGTGTCGGCGCACTTGGTGGTCATGCAGTTGCGGCAGCGACGACATTTCTCGCACTTGTATTTCTTGCGTGCATTGGTTAGTATTTCAAATGTGATCGGCAGGCAGGTAAAGTGCCCTGTAAAACAATAAACAGCAGATGTTTTAGCAACAGCATCAAGGATAACCATGCTACTTACATTTCAAGGAACAGGACTTGCAGGTAAGAAAATTACTTTTATAGCCTGAGCCACGCTTGGCTTCGCTCTTGCCGCACTTCATGCAAGTATCAAAATTGCGCTGCTGCTCCGCGCTGGGCACTGAGACTGTCTCGCTGGCTTCCTCTTTAGCAACTGTTTGGGGCGCCACATCGCCGGCGCTAACAAGCGCTGCTTGCTGACTCGGTGGATTTGGCTGCGTTGCCAGCGTCTGTGCCTGCGGCTGCGGCGACAGCTGCCGTTGCTGTTGTTGAATTGCGCTAATGTTCTGTGCGGGTGACGGTGACTGGGCTGTTAACGGCGCCGGTGCTGGTGCCGGTGCCGATGCCGGCAGCGAGTTGCGCGATCCGCGTGATATGTAATTGTCAGACGGATCGTAAACTTGTTTGGGTTTCTATTAAAAGCACAATGTGAGATCAGAGCGTTCCGTTTGGCAGTTAACACACAGTTTTAGTTACCTTGACACGACCCGTGGTGCGCACAGTGCCTGGCGTGTTGCCGCTGCCGCTGTTGGCATCATTGCTGTTGCTGCCGCTGCTGATGTTGGGTGAAGCGTTGTTATTTATTTTGCTATTGTTGTTGTTGTTGCTGTTGCTGTTGTTGCCCACAGCAGCATTGCCGACACCAACATCATCCTTGTCTTCATCCTTGCCGCGCTTCATATCGAGCTGCTTAAATGACTTGGCTGCCACTAAACCAAACAAAATTCCTGTTGACTGTCTGCGCTGCAATGCGCGCTCGCCGCTTGTTTAACGTACAATCCGATAAATTATCGATACCTTAAATGAGTACGCACCGGTTATCGGTTTTGTTGTTGCCCATTCTGCGGAAATTTGTCGTTAATCGCGCGCTGCTTCACAAATTCATAATTTCTGATACATGCAGTTTTTATTGTGATTCATATATTAATCTGTATATCTAAAAAAAAAAAGCAATAATTCAAAGTAAAGTTGAAGGACTTTTAATTATAATAGCTTATAATTATTTTATTTTTTTAAATGTATTTCGTTAATAAATAAAATACATTTATGCTTGTTGCTGCACTTTTATTATTACGAGTTCATTTTGATTAATCATCAATTTTTTAATGAAATTATGCCCTTGCTCTTAGAAACTGAAAATATGCTTACTTTCTTTTATTTCGATGTCTTTTGTGCGTCTTTAACAATTTGCTGCGAAAAGCATTATAATAAGGCAATTCAATAATTTTAAACGTACAATAACTTAACTAGAATTTAATTTATTTTCAACTAGACATATATATATATATATATATATGTATAAATAGACGGTATGTCCAACATGATGTGCGATTTGTGGTCACTGGAAGCAAAGGTAGTGCCCCAAGTCAGGAAGAAGAGCTCAAGTAACATCAGCAACAGAGGAAAACAAACTAATTCAGCTTTGGCTTCATTCGATCTTGATGCGACGACCGTACTTCCAGGCCAAATGCATCAGTTCCCGGTGCGCCAGTGCCCAGGCTAACAGGCACAGAATGCCTGCCGCCAAGCCAACGCCCATGTGCGTCCCGAATACCGCATCCCGATACTATACAAAAAAAAAAAAAAAAAAACAATTGAAATTCCGCATATAAAATAATAAGTACATAAGGCTGAATTAGAGCTAGTTTAACTACACTCACCATGTAGCAAATCAGGCCGGCCAGCAGCAGGGTGCCACCAAATAGCTTGCCTGGCCACAGTCCTTGGAGAGGATTTAGGCCCAGTGGCTGATACTGGTGCCAGATGTAGCTGGTGCTGTAGAGGATGCGACCCAGCATGTTGATGCAGTTGGCAAAGATGAAGCCGACCGGTCCGAAAATGCCCGTCAGAATGTACGACAAGATGAGGAAACTTATTGAAAATATTGCCATCAGATAATTGTACTTATCAATGTCGCGACTGGTGTTGGTCGCAAACATGTAGCCCTCGCTGATGCCGTTCACGGACAGCAGATAGATGGCCAGGCAGTGCCACTGCAGTAAACGCTGGGGCAGTCCGCCGGCAACGAAATCCTCGCCGCCGTACAGCAGCAGCAATGTATGCGAGTAGTTTTGGCCAAAGGTGAACACCAGCAGGCCAATGGAGCTGACGCCCAGCAGCAGATTGTTTAAGACACTGCTTGCCTGACGCACGCGCTCCGGCGGCTGCTTTGCCAAACGTGTGTCACGTGCGATTGTTTGCGTAAAGTAGAAATAGGCGCTGTCCTCAATTGGGCGGAATATAAAGCGAGCCGCCATGCTGCCCAGATTGTTCACCACATCATAGGTGGCCTGCTCGCCAAAACTGAGCACTGGCGAAACGGACATAACATACTTTTCGCCCTCGGTGAGGATCTGCTTGAGCACGCCCTGCTTGACAAAGCTGAGAGTCAGCGTTTGTAGCTCTCTGTTGAAAAGAGCGCCTCCATTTGAGGAGCTCAATACACCCGGCAGCAGCTGCGATAGCTTTGTGAATGGAAAGTCCTCCATGTGGTCGAAAAGTGAACGCTGCCAGGAGTTAAGAACGTGCGCCGCCTTACTCTTGCGTACTTGCTGCTGATGTAGCTTGAATTCGTTGAAACTCTTAATGTAGAACAGAAAGAATCCGAACTGACCTAGAACAATGGTCGTGGCGCTGGCCAGTTGGGCGATGGCAAAGGCGCTAATAGCCGCGCTGCGATCATCAATGACAATCCACAGAAATATAGCCGAACGCACCAGTATGTGCAGCGTGTTAACAACAATCTTCAGCTTGACAAAGCAAAAGACCTGGGCCACGAAAACCGTCGACTCGGCCACTAACTCGAGGACGCAGGATAGCGCCACAGCGTAGCAGGCAAACTCGTATTGTGCGCTGAATGGTGCATCCACCGCTGAGAGCCAGTGCAGCCAGATATAGAGGCACGGAGCGCACAGGGCTGCGCAAATGGGGACTCTGCATGTACGGGGGAAAAAAAGTAAATAGACTACCAGGAGAAATGGAATCTGTGGCAATCGGCCTGGCACTTACGTAAGCCACATCTGATTGATCAACTGCGCCCAAGAACACTTGTCGCGCTGCTGAGAGTTGGCGCTCAGTGCCGCCCGGTTGATGGCCTCGCGCGACAAGAAGAGTAACGTGCTCTCGAGCAGCAGCAGGCGCACATTCATAATGCCCAGCACTTCGCGACCTACATTGCGCACAATGTAGGCATTTATGCCGAACGTTAGGATGCGGCACAGTATCTGCAAGATAACGACAATGGCAACGTCCACAATATCTGACTCACACGCTTCGGATTGTTGAATGTTTTGATTTTGGTTGCGGCTGGCTCACCTGAAAGATGATACTGAAACCAGCGCCCAACAGGCTACTCTCTAGCACATTGCGCCCCATCACAAGTTGTTACTTTATGGACATAAACTGCTATATCATAGCGTACAAAATAGAAAATCAAATCAAGTGCCAACAAAATAACAACAAAAAGCCCATCTAGGTGCGCGAAAATCGATACCCATAACATCCATAAATAAAATAATCGATATGAAAACAGCTGTTTATACAAACAGCTGACCAAGTTGGCAGCACTACAAAGTGCAGCAGGTGGCAACACCAACACATTGAATTCAAATTTAAGGTCAACAGTTGATACAAAACTATATGTATATGTATTTTTAGATTTTAGTATGGTTCATCCCATTGTGGATTATTGCGATTTTCTAATTTATGGTGGAAACCAACACCATTGTAAATAATCTAAAATGTAAAACTGAGAGCTATAATAAACCAAAAGTCTGACAGGGTTAATAATTCAACCTATTTAGAACGACAGACATTAAAATGTACAATTAATGATGGTAACAAAAATAAAAACAATTTTCATTTTATGCATATACATATATGTACATATCTTTTAGCCCACTGTCCAAAGGTTACCTTGCTTCTTGCCCGGCGTCCTTGCTGCCAACATGCGCCCGCACAAGCCGAGCGAACAGGTGCGACTCGTTACGATAATTCGTTTTCACCATAAATCACCGGCTTAAATGCATGTCCTTTGCGCTAATCGTTCGCCCGCTGCCCGCTGCCCGCCGACCGCCGCCCTCCTCCAGCCATGTGCGTGTTGCCAACTGCCGTCAAACTGGTTACAACAACTTTCGTTGCGGTTGCCTCGCCGAAGAAGTTGCTCACCGAGTGGCTGTGCGGGCTGTCGCGCTCAAGACAGTCAGCTTTTTAACTTGGCCAGAGTCGGTCGCTTGTCGCGCGCTAAATCGCCAGTTGTGCAATCTCTCCATCTCTCTCACACACACACAGAGAGACGGCTCAAGCGTTGTGCATTTTGGAAAGGTGCGCGCGTGCGCGGTAAAAAGTGAACTAAAATAAAGACGAGCGAGTGTTCTGCAAGACGAAGCGTGAAGTGCAGCACGCTGTTCTGTGTGTTATTGTTTTTGTTTTTGTTTTTGTTTTGTTATTTGTTTGGCAAAAGCATGCGGAAAATCTGATCTGATCTGATCTGATTTGATCTGATCCTGAGCTCTTGCGCAATTCGCCGTCAAGGTATCGCTATCTCAGTATCGTCTGACAATTGCGCTCGTGTGACACTTTTCTCATTGCAAACTGGTTGCAACGCGCGCTGCCCTAAAGCACCGTTGCGCCGCCCGCCTCTATTTCACCTGCGCCGACGCCACAGAACGCGGTCATGTTCATTTCGTGTCGCCGCTAACGCTGGCTTTCCAGATAAACAGACGTCACCAACAATAGAAACTTTGAAGAGCACGCTGCTCCAGGATGTCGGACATATACTACTGCAGCAATAGCCAGGTGAGTAGCTCAATTAACCAGACCAAAAGCAACTCCAAATACCAGCTACTACTTGTTGAATCATAAACAATAGCACAGGTTCTGCCAGACAGTTCAAAGCGACTTGTTTCCATTGCTTTGGTATATCTTAATTTATAGTTCAATAAACAATGAATTAGCGAGGCTGGGCGTTTTTTAGAATTAGCTAACCCTATTGTACCGCGCTTTTTATACCCTGTATGCAAATGACAAGAGTTTAATGATGCTGTGTAACTGTTTAAATTAGTCAGCTGTTAACATTCTCTTAATTAGCTCGTGTATCTAAGCTAAGCCTCACACAGAAGTTGTTTAATATTGCTGTTTACAGGGTATCGGCCGGCCAGTCACATACGACGAACAACAATGCATAATTGTTAACCTTTTCAGACTAAAACTGACCGACGTCAGAGACGTTGCCATATCTGTTGGAGTTAAGCGGTTTTCCAATTGTTGTTGTCGTTAAGCATCATTGGAAAATGTTGCCATGTTAATTAATGAGACAAAAGTAAAAGTGAACAAAAAAAAAAAAACTCGAACTAGCCATTTGTCATATTTGTAATTCGATTATGCAATCGAACCGAGGTCTTATTACATTACAGACCTATCGATAACAAGTCAATTTGCTTAAAACTAACGGCACCGACAGTCACAATGGTTATGCACAAAATGTATTTACTGTGCTTACAAGCAAGATGCTGCGAAGGTTGCCATATGCGTCTTACAAATGTGCCAAGACTGAGACTTTACTTATCCAGTGGTACAGTGTATCTTTTATTTGATGGGTTTTTCATAAAATGTACTTAATTATATATTTGCATGGATTTTGAAACAAATTCAATAATATCTAGCGACATTTTCATGTGTACCAGATTGCAAATGTCGTTTTATATACATAACTAAATATAAACGAAAGCAATATGTGTTTTTAAAAACCAGAAATGAAATACGTTAACGTTATTATTTATTAATTTATTTGTGGCTTAAATAAATGACATTCAAAACGGCTGCACTAAGACGCATAACGAAATGTTACGTTTCGATCGAATTTGGTACTTTGGTACTCTGGCAAGCTTTGGTACACAATTCTTGCATCAAGTGGCAACCATGAATGGCTGTGCTACTGTGCAAAATTATGGAAATTATAAGGCCGGGCGCTTTGGCACGCCCCGCAGAAAGCTGGTGCGGCGCCAGCAGCATCCATAAGCCAGTGAAAGTTCGTCCCGTTATAAGCCAATTTGCCTTAGTAACTTACTTTTGCTGGCAACTCTGTTGCTGCTGCTGCGCTGCTGCTGCGCTGCTGCTGCTGCTGCTGCTGCTGCTGCTCTGGGCGCATGGCCGTTAACATTTTGCGGCCTGTTTTATTGCCAGGCTGCGCTGCTGTTTTATATGAAAAGAAATCAAAAGTTTTGCTGCGTGCGTTGTCGACGGCTTTTGTCTTTGTATTTGTTGTGTTTTGAATTGGCAAATGTTTTAATGCAAAATGCGGCTTGTTGTTGTTGTTTTGACGGCCAGCCTAATGCCGTGTCTAAATTTGTTTGTGAAATGAAGTTGGGAGACTTGGGGCTTTTGTTTATTGGTGAGAATTTTTTCAAAAGCAAAATATGTCGCCGTTAACATTAACAACAATGCAGACAGCGGCAACTGAACCAAGGTTTTCACTGACCAAATTTGTGCTTTTTGTATTATTTTTTTTTTTCTTTTTCGTTTGTTTGTTGTACTCTGACAGTTATTGTTATTTGTTGTTAGTTTGCAGGGCGTGCAATTTTGTTGTTGTTGCTTTCGACTGTTGAGCAATTTGCTGTTTCTGATCGCTCGCTGTAATTGAAGCCATTGCTGCTGCGATATGTATGCATATGCATGTGTGTGTGTGTGTGTGTGGAGGGGGGGCAAACATTCCAATAAGTCTAGTCTAGACTTTAAAGACTCGCACGGCCAAAAGTGATTGCGGCGACAACAACAACAACAACAAACTTGTTTGGCTTAGAAAAACGCAACAACTTTCAGTTGTCGGTCTAAAGCTGGGCTTATCTTGGTTTTGCTGTTCGTTTCTTTTTGTTTTTTTTTTTTTGCACAATCACCAAAAGACCAGCCAGCGGCTAAGCTGACGCCATCGCCACAACATAACACCCACTCCCAACCAATGACCCCCCCCCTCTACTAGCCAATAAGGCAACAACAATTTTCCACTGATTACGTTGCATATCTTAAAGTCTGATCAAATCAAATGTATCAATATAAAAAGCAATAAGAAAAGCTCAAAATTCCACACAAGCACTAGCAAAGTCGAGTGCTTTCCAATAAGAGTGAGAGTATATTTTTGCATATGTATGTATGCATATATATGTATACATGTGTGTGTATGTTGGCTGTTGCCATAGCAATGCGTTTTTCAGTTAAAATTTGCAGCCATGTGCTGCAACAGGTTCGGGCAGCAGCAACAACAATAATATAAAATGTTGTTGCCATTTGCCAAATGCCACACGACAGCAGCAGCAGCAGCAACAACAATAACAACAACAAAAGTAGCAGCAGCAGCAGCAGCAGCGACTAAAAAAACTAATAATAGCTTGTCTTTTGTACATACATTTCTTAAATTTGTTATTTTTATTTTTTCTTTTCTGAGACATGCTCCGTTTTGGTTTTTTATATTTGCTTTTCTGTTTGAGCGCATTTGATGTTTTGAGTGCAAAAGTTGAGCAACAGCTTGAGTGACCTTTCATTGCGGCTGCCAGCATCGATCTGGCCACCCGCTAAACGATCGCTAATGGCAACGCTGTGCACACACACACACACACACACGCATACAAGCACACAATAGAGTGCCATGAACTTTCTCTGTCTGCACAAAGCACAGCAGCACGCTGCGGCTTCACTATGCGTTTTTTTTTTCTTCTGTAGGCTTGCATTTTTCTTATTTCTAAATTGTCATTGAAATAAATAAGAACCAAAAGCCAAACACACAGCAACAATGAGGATAGCCCACAATTATGACAAACCCAACAACAACCATGTGCAATTCCAAAGTCTTAACAAAGTTGTCGACTGCGGCAGCGGCAGCGGCAGCGGCAGCAACAGCGGCTGCTGGCAAAGAAAGTAGCACAATTCATTGGCAGTGCCTGGTTGTTTGTTCATCATCAACGTTGCTGTTGTTGTTGTTGTTGTTGTTGTTGTTGTCAGCTTCAAGCATTTTATGACTTTTATAAGCGGCGACGCCGAAGCGCTGCCAACTGTGATTTATTGTAACTGTGTGTGTGTATGTGAGAATGCTTTAAAATTGAAAATTTCCTTTCGATTGTGAATATGTGTGTGTGTACATGCATGCATACATACATATGTACATACGTATGTATGTTCATGTGTGCGCCCTTTACTTTCCAATTCGCAGTGCTTTATTATTATTATTGTGGCCGCCCTATTGCCAAATTACTTTTTACTCTCTTTCGGGCTCTAATTTGATGGGCACTGCCACGCCCCGACTTTTACGCGCAGCCGTGCCGATTGCAATTCGCTTAGCCTTGAACTGCGCTGGCGTCGACGTTGGCAGCGACGCGATGCGTTGGCGTCGCTGCCTTATTTATTGCCGTGGCGGCGTTTCGTTTGCTTTTTTTGTTTTGTTTTTATTAACTAATGAAATTTGGCGGCGGAAATTAAAATGTATGTTTGTGGAACAGCCAGAGCAGACGCAATGCACATACATGCATACATATGTATGCATGCATAGCCCATATGTAGGCATCGATTAATCAAATCATTTCGTTGATTAAACTTTAAGCTTTGGTGCTTGCTGGCCAGTTACTATTAGGTTAATTAAACAATTAAATGGATGAGTTTTTTTTTTTTTTTTTTTTTTTTGTGGTATCGCACTTTACGTATGCAAAAACTGGAATTTAAACTGTTTTCAGGCGCCAAGTTACATACATACACACATACATATGCACAAGTTGGTAGCAGATATATTTAAATTGAGCTATTTAACTGTCAGGCTAACAGCTAAACAATTCGATATTTTGTGCTATCGATAAATTGATGCAGGTATCGAGTTTAAAATCCAATTGGCATATGCTGCCATATGCAATGTGCATTCAAAATACAAACGCACACGCATAAAATCGTGTATACATACTTAAAGTATTGATTATTCAAATCATTTTGCTGTTCAGATACAACATTAACGTTCTTACAGCAACAATTAAACTATTTAATATACGTTCAAATCAGAAAATTGAAGTAGCTATCGAGCAACACGGCCAATTGGAATCGAGCCAAACTGGCTAATTGGAAATTTGGTAAGCTGTGCGTTGATCTCCTCTTCATGATTTATGCATTCATTTACATACATATGTATATTCATACGAGTGTGCACACTTTGATCCTCATTATGCGATCTGTTTCAATGACCCCCATGCATATGTTAATTCTACATATATATATATATATATGGTGTATGGATATATTTGTTGTTTATGCGCTCTTCTTTAGGCTCTTCGGTTTTGTTACATATATTCCCCCGCAGCCACACCCACACTTCTAAATGCCAGCACACTTTTTGTGAATAAACAATTGTGACTGAAACTCAGTCGGAGCATGGCAAGGGGGCAAGCGGAGTAGTTGAGATAAAGTGCCAAGAAAGCGCTCGACGGCATTTTAATTAATTGTATTTGTTTTCGTATTCGTATTTTCAGCATTTTGATTGTTGTTGCTGTTGTTGCGGTTGTTGTTGTTGTTGTTGTTGCTGTGCGCAGAACTTTCTACTTCATTTGAATGCAAAACAATATCCATGAGGCCCAGAGACGAGGCCAAATCGCTGTGGAATTGCGTCTAGATGAGCAGCTTGTTGCGTTGCATTTTGATTTGCAATGCATACGTTTCTATATGTATGTGTGTATGTATGTGTGCACACATCTTTGGCTGTATGTATGTAGGTGGCAATTGGCCATGCCCAGTCGTCGCATGAGTCAGCTCTCTAGTTTCGGTTTTTAAACACACCCAAATCCAACCCAGAGTTATTGGCGCTTGGAAAACTCAGATTCCGAGAGTCAGTTCGTTGATGCCACAGTCACGTCGCTGTTGCCTGGAAAAGGCGCCATCAGCCCCTGGTCCCAGGCACGCATGTCGCCGTCAGAGGCGTGCCAGTCCACAAAACTGTTGCCCCATGCAACATTCGCCGCCGTTTGGCGCTTGGCGCTTTCGCCGTGGGGTCGCCGATGCTGGCTGCATTTTGTGGCCGTTATTAATTCGTCACGACTGAGTGGCAGCTGCTGCTCGGAGCGACAACTGCGGCAGCTGTGGCAGCTGCTTAAAGGGAAATTTGTGAAAAGCTGAGCGTCCGCACGTGGCAGCTGCAGCATCTAACGATTTCCGTTTAATACCCTTTCCACGTGCTTCCAATTGGAGATGGGCGCATGTCGTGATTTCAACGGTCAACGGGACGCAACGGTACCTGAAGGAATGCTATGAAAAATCGATAACTACTCAAATATATCGATTACTCAAATTGTCATTGAAAGTCGATATAAATTGAAATTGATCGAACCGTTAATTAATTGTATACGAATTTGTCGCACACACTTCGAAGGCCCACAGCTTTGATTCGAGACAATAAAACATGTCTTGATAAATGCCGATTGTGGTTAACTTATCTTTGACTCTCTCATTATTCATTTCGCCTTCCAAGTTTGTGTAATCCGCAGTCGATTATAAATTGAATTGTTGCCTTATAAAAATTATGACATTTGCCAAACTCACATCTGGCTAAATATTTTGTTGACTTCCGCGTTTTACCAGGTCTCAGCTCAGGCATTCAGATTTCTCGAAACTTTTCCCGTTAACTTTTCTCCCCTTTTACTTGGTTAATGTCCCTATGCTGTAGCCCTTTCCAGAGTGTGTTTTATATAATCTTGAATTCACTTGCTGGGTTTTTTCTCTAGCAACTCTTACAAATAATTTTGTTAAATTTTCCGTAGAGGAAGTCGGCTGCTCTATAGCTATTTCCGCAATCGCTCAGAAAAACTCAAATTGAATGGGAAAAATCGCGTTTGTTTGCCTGTATTCAGATTTCTTTATATAGTATCTAACAAATAGTTAGATTTTTTTAAGTATATGCATACTCCAACAGAGGATGGCTTTTTACCTTTGATATCGTACTATAAGCCAACTATTAATATAAACTGAACTAAATGCTTGCCAAAAGATTTGTTATGTAAAAAATGATTCGCTTTTATTCAAAAGTCTTTTGCCGGACTGCGGCCAGTTATCAAATTAAAATTAGGCTGTGCGATTAAAATTGAAATAAACCAAGGCATAAACAAAAAAATGGGCATGTGAGAACTTAGGTTCAGGTGCCGCAGCTTAAGGCAAAGAGCTGGTTCGAACCGTGAACCGAACCAGCGACTATTTGTTGTGTTTCGCTAGCAGCCCTTATGTATGTCTATATATGTATGTGCATGTGCATGTGCATGTGCATGTGCCTGTGCATGTGCATGTGCATGTGCCTGTGCATGTGCATGTGCATGTGCATGTGCATGTGCCTGTGCATGTGCATGTGCATGTATCTCTACATGTGTATCTGAATTTTAGATATGAGCTAGTTATTTGCATTGTTATCAAAGCTACAACAACAACAAGAAGGGGTTCTAGTCGGGAACTCCCGACTAGGGGATACCCTGAACTCTCTTCTTCCAACGTCAACATCAGCATATATATATGCTATATTAGAGGCAACATATCAAGTTTTATTGACTCTAGCTATTATTATTTACCAAAATTGGTATAATCATCGAAAAAGTTTCGATTTTCGCACCGACCTTGATTTTGAAAAAAAAAAAAACGTGATTTTGTCGATTTGGATCAAAATTTTGGATTTCATTTTTTTTGATGCCAATCGATATAACTGATCCTTACGAGTCAAAAATGGTATGAAATTGCAAAATCGGACATTAATTGACGGAAATATTACAAAAAATCATCAAAAAGATGGAATTTACAACCGAATGGGTTTTTTGACAACAACATTTTTCAACCCATCGATTTTTAATTTGCTTAAATGCCAATTGATGGTAGGGATCCGTACGCATTCAAAAAGGTATAACATTTTCAAATCAGACATTATTTACCCGAGATATTAAAAAAAAAAACCAAAAGGTTTCGATATTCGCACCGACCTTTGACGTGATGTAATCCCTTGCCATTTTGTCGATTTGGGTCAGAATTTTGAACTAAGCACTTATGATAAAACAAGGAACTTAATTAGCATTACAGAAAAAATTCGCAATAATCAATGCTGTTAAAATGCGAAGCAGACGCGCGACAAATTCTTAAAGATGCTGCTCTATTCAATTGCGCAGTTGCATATAACTTTGGTTATTTTCTAACAGATCTTTATGAAATGTTCTACAGTATATCTTATTGTATCATAGAATATTTGTGCATACTGAGAAAGTCAATTGCATTTAAATTTTGGCTTAAATTGGTTGGCAATAAAAGTTGGGTTATTAACTTGATTTATAGCTCTGGGGTGGTAGCGGAGAGGTGGCGATAGAATGGACGGACAGACGTTATAATACCGATTTGTTTAACCGAGTAAAAACCTAACAAATATTCCACGAAATGTTTATGTTAAAACCAAAAAGGAATGCATATCTTCGGTTAAAAGTTGTGTACAGATATCTTGAAAAACAAGAACTTATTGTTTCATCGATTATTTAGATAATATATGATATCCATTCGACTCGGCTGTCTTCTTCTTGTTCAGCTCTTTTGCATTGCACGCGATCAACAAAAAAAAAAAAAACAAGAAAAAAATGGCAAGCTTATGCGAAATGGAATAATATCTGAACCCATTTTGTGAGGGCATCTAAAATTTCGTTCTGGCATTTTATTTATTATTTGAAATTTGTGCTCGTTGCACTTACCAAATGCGATTGCAAACTTTCGTTTGTGGCATGGAGGTCAGGCGATTGTTAGGAAGGGGAGTGGGGGGTGTGGTACACGGGGGCCGCTGTGAAAGCGACAGAGTTCAAAAGACTTAGGCCACGAACTCGTTTGCCATTGACAAGTGTCATTTGAAGAAGAAGAAGAAGCGCATTTCGACATGTTTGCAGTCCATTGCAATATTTGTTGTCGTTGTTGTTGTTGTTGTTGTTGTAGCTGCAGCGGGTTGCGCAGCGAAAGCGAATTTTTTGTGCCAACTGCAGTCAAAAATTCAAAGCCAAGGCGAACAAAAAAAAAAATGCGCCAAAGTCGCCAGCGAAATGAAAGTGTTTTGCTATTGTTGTTGTTGTTGTTGTTGTTGTTGTCCCCCAAAACACGTTACGGCAGACACACACACACACACACACACACACACATAGACAGTGGGCGGCAATTGATAATTCCCACGGCGAATTGAATTAGTTTCAGCATAAATATTTATGCTCTTGTCTAACTAATTTGGTTTTTGTTACATTTTACGGCATAAATATTTAAATAGTTTATTTTCTAACAACAAGCTGCGAGCCAACGACTCCACGTTGCAACGGCAACATGTTGCGTCCCAACATGTTTGTAAGCGGCTGCATTCAATGCTGGCTTGTGCTTGTGTGTGTGTGTGTGTGTGTGTGTATTTTAATGAATTTTCCTAATTAGTCTTGTGAAAGAAAAGCGAAAACGAAACGTGGCATAGGTTGTTGTTCATGGTGCATTGTTGTTGTTGTTGTTGTTGTTGTTGCTGTTGCGGCTGTTTTTGGTGTCGCACGAGCATTGTTGATACAAAATGTTGATAGCAACATAATCACAAGGCAAAGTAAAAGTTGCCGAATCGAAAATAAAAGTTCAGCAACTGCGCCGCCAAAATATGTAAATACATATGCATATATGTATGTATGGGTGTGCTGGCATGCTGTATGTTTGTATGTGTGCAAGCGTATTTAAATAAAAAGATGAGCAAGGGAAACGCAGCCGCAACTTTCTTTTGGCGCTCGCGTCGCAGCTGACGTCGACGTCGCTTGGGGCGCTGATCGCTTGACATTGGCTTCGTTTATGGGCGGTAATTGCGGCCGCTGGTTTTTTCTTGCTTCTTCTGCTTCTTCTTATTGTTTGTTGTTTTTGTAATCTTTTTGACATGCCAACTGCTAAAAGAAACACAAACAAACACAAAACTTAACTGGAGCAGTTACTTTTGAGCTTGAGTCATGCACACCCCCCCCCCCCCCCTTTCCATCCAACGAACCCGTTGTTCGTTTGGTGTGTTAAATTTTGTGTCCACGCCACAATTAGCACCTGTTGGCCGCGCATGTTGCTTCCATTACCATATCTGTAAAAGACAAAAAAAAAAAAATATTAATAAAATAATAATAATATACTGGCAGAATTTCGTTGTTAACCATAAATTTATAAAATTTTTGGTTTTGCAGATCAAAAAAGCTCGCGACGCGGACAAAAATGCTGCCGGCGGTAATCCAATGGCAACAACAGTAACAAACACATCAGGAACAACAACTACAGCGGCAGTTGACAAAAAGAACAACAACAACAACAACAATCACTGCAGCAGTAATCGTAACAGCAGCAAAGACAAAAGCAAAGAGATGCAGACAAATGGCGGCAAAAGCAATTGGAAGGTAATTAAACGGAAATGTAATAAAATACTTAGTTATGCACACACACACACACGCACACACACACGCACACATGAACAGATTAACATGTATGTATGTAAGTCAGTGTGTGCAATGATGTGCAATAATTGGAGAAGAAAAGCGTAAAGCTGCAGATGAAAGAAGGAAATGTGTGAAAGGTGTGTGAGGTAACATGATTTGTTTGCACGTGCGCGCTCTCTGCTCCGTTATGCGGCCGAGTGACTTTTGACTGACTCCCCTCTCTGGCTGACACGCATTATTGAGAGCGCATGAGCAAGAGAGAGCGCCGCGCGCTGCTGCTGCTGTGCAATTGCAACACACAAAATGCAAATGCCGCGAATAGGTTAACCCCAAAACTGACTACTTGCCATAGTCTCTGTGCGTCTGCTTATGTGCGACATGGTCAATAAACGCAGTTGTTGATTATGAAATGAGGAAACCACTCACTCGCTTTGCTCGCAATGTTTAATTACATTTTTGTGCTTTTTGCTGCTCATTTATTTTATTATTGTTATATGTGCGCACAAACACATATGCATGAACACATGTACATACATATGTTTGTTTGTTGATGCTTTGCCGCGTCAAGCGGTGGCGGCAGCATCACGCAGAGAAAAGTAGGCCGCGACGCGACCTGTTTACGGCCAGCGGTCCGGCCCAGCCCAGGCTGCCCTCCTCCCGTCATGGCAGCTGCTGTGTTAATTTTGCTTTACTTGCGCTTTAATTAATTTTCTAAAGTGTGTTTATGTGCATACGTTGAGTATAAGTTCTCTGTGCCGTGGCACGTTCGCAATTGCAACATTACACGAACGCACGAATCTCCAACTAGTCCGTTATTTAACATTGTGAACCAATTGCGGCACAGCCAACTTAACGTGTATGCAGATGCTGCCAGCCTTTCGATACTTCCGCGCCGTCTGCATAGGGATGCCAGATGCTTTCACATGGTCTAGCCATGTCACTTTCCTTGCTGCTTTACTTGTCTATTGCTAAAATATGAATAACAAAATTGTAAACAATCAAATTGGTTCCGTAATTAATTTGTATAAAAGGCAATTTAAAGCGCCGCTTCCTTGGTTTCATGCTGCGCTCGTCATGCTGCATGCAAACATTGCGTTGCATTTGCATGCGAACCAGCAACTAAACAAAACTAAACAAAACCAAAAACAAAAACCAAAAACAAAAAAGTTAGCAACACAAAAATCAAATTATAAACTATTTCAAGTGCATTACCAAGGCACTTGGCGTGATGGGGCGTTCGTTTCGATGGTTGATTTAACGGCATGATTTGGCGCAAAATCAAAGCGTCTAATTTTAAGGCGCTTTGTGGTCATTGACCACGCGGACCGTGACCGTAAATAAAGCTCAGTTTCGGCTATGTCACTAATTATGAACTTGTGTGTGTTTTTGTTTTTGTTTTGTAGGGCCTCGTCCAAAGCAATCCCAATGGCAACGGCGTCTTGCCAGCAACAGCAACATCCCAGCCAGCCAAGGTTTTCCACAACACACGCTGTACGCGACACCACAAGCCCCATCACATCCACAGCAATGGCGGCGGCGGCGGCGGCGGCGGCGGCGGCGGCGGCGGTGGCGTTGCAGTAGCAGCAACTGTGGCATCCGTACCTGGAGCTGATCAACGAGATGGGGATCGGCACCATCAGCATCAGCATCAGGCACAACAACAGCAACAGCACCACCTGCACCACATGCACAGCCACAGTCATAACCATGCCCATCATGGTCTGCGTCGCAAGTCAGAGTCTGTGCTATCCACCGACTCGGACATACGCTTCACCCGCCGCAAGCTGGGTGATAGCCAGAAGTGCGGATGCGCTGTGATAGCCGGCTTCCTTATCGCTCTGCTGGTGGCCGGCGCCTTTGTTTATATAGGCTGTGAGTAGCTGAAGCCAAGAGCTGAGCGAACGGAATTTAACGCAATGCCAATTTCAGATACATACTTCCGGCCGGAGCCGCTGCCGGATCGCGTGTTCCGTGGCAAGTTCATGGTGCTGAACGATAAATGGAGCATGGAGCTCGCCAATCAAAACTCGCTCCGTTTCCAGCACAAGGCACGTGACTATCGGGAGCGCATCAATCTAACGTTACGTCGCTCGGACTTGCGTGAGGCGTACGAGGGCAGCGAGATTCTGGCTCTAGATGGGTAATAAAACTATAGATCCAGCCCAGCCTATATATGTATATAACACATCTGCTATAACATATTCATATGCTTGTCCACAGCAGCGAGGACAACAACAACATTATCGTGCACTTCAACATGATATTCGATCCGTATGCGGGTCTGGTCAGCAGCGGAGAGTTGCTGGCGCTTTTCCATGAAGAGCTAAGCGATGCACAAAGTCGGCATTTTGCCAACATGACCGTGGATGTGTCTAGCGTGAGCATTAAGGAAACCACCGGCCAGATCGAGGAGCCCATCATGTCCAGCTCACCGCTTGGTGGCCATGATGAGACCACCGAGCCGACCACTACAACACCACGTCCACTGCCACGCCGATGCGAGCCACTGCAGCTGAACTATTGTCGCAATGTGGGCTACAATGTGACTACCTATCCGAATATGCTGGGTCACGCTACCTATGAGCAGGTGGTCGAGGATGTCATTGTATTCCGCGAAATCGTTGACGGCGAGTGTTTCCGTGAGGCCTACGACTTTGTTTGCCGCCTACTGCAGCCACCCTGCGAGACGCACGGCATCAGCCAGGAGCCGACGCCCGGCGCCATCTGTCGCGAGTATTGTGAGGCGTTCATGGCCGGCTGTGGTGGCAGGTTGCCGGCACGCTTCCGTCAGCACTTTGATTGTGAACGCTTTCCAGAGTCGACGGGCACACAGTCGTGCCAGCAGAAGCCTCACTGTGTTGGTGACATGCAGAGCAATGTGCAGAGTCCGCGCTTATGCGATGGCTACGCCGATTGTCCGGATCTGTCCGATGAACGCAGCTGCGCCTTTTGCGCCGCCAATGCGCTCTACTGTGGACGCGGGCGCGCCTGTGTGCCGCGCAAGGCGCGATGCGATGGCAAGGCCGACTGTCCGGATGGCGCTGACGAGAAGGATTGCCGTAAGTAAAATCTGATAAAAAAAAAAAAAAAAAATACTGGCTGTGCCACTAAATCCCTTATTCTACACACAGTTTCTATCGCTCCATTGGCCGCGGATCTACTGAAACCCGAGCCCTTGGTTCCGTATTTGCCGCGCTTCCATGCCGCCGGCTATGCTGTCTTCTCCGAGAAAGGTGTGGTGGGCAAACTGTGCGCTGAGGGCCTAGAGGGTGATGCCAAACTGGTGGTACGCCAGACCGTCTCGGAATCCTTATGCAAATCGCTGGGCTATGAGTAAGTGCCTATCACTTATACTTATAAATGTAAGACCTGTTTGCAAAAATTTGAATTTCGTAACGGTTCATGAAACGTAACAATTGTGTGCATGTGTGGCAACGCCAACAACTGATCTACAGAATGGCAAGGTTGAATGTTTTTCAAGGTGGCAACACTGTAATCCATAATTTTTTTTCAATTTAAACTAGCGCCACTTAATCGCAAACTAATTATCTTTTGCAGATCTGTGGAAATCTTTGATGTACAAAATGATACGGAACAACTGTCGGACTATGTGCGCGTTTTAGATCCGCATGCGCCGGAGATCAGTTTCATACGAACCCACTGCCCCAAGAGACAGGTGCTCTATGTGGGCTGTGGCGATTTGCGTTGCGGGGTGCAGTCGGCGCTGCCCAATGCCAAGCAGCATCTGTCCCTGCCAAAGATGTCGGCTCCGGGTGATTGGCCATGGCTGGTGGCATTGTTCCGCGAGGACATACACGTCTGTGATGGCACGCTCATATCACCGGACTGGGTGCTGACCACAGAGGGCTGCTTCCAGGGCCAGCCAAGAGCCACCTGGATGGCAATAGTGGGTGCAGTTCGTTTGTCAGCGAAGGCGCCGTGGACACAACGTCGCCGTATCATTGGTATGATCAAAAGCCCTGTTGAGGGCTCCACAGCGGCACTGGTCCGCTTGGAGACGCCGGTCAGCTTCTCGGATCATGTGCGTCCCATTTGCCTGCCGGACGCACTGCAGCGCCAGCAGCAGCAAACGCCCATACAACGGCGCGCCTACGTACCAGTCGCTGAGCGATTAGAAGCTCCGCCAGCCCAGCATACCCAGCGCCGGCTGGCCCAGGAAACTCAACAGTTCTTCCTTATACCCTCACAACACGAACAACAGGAGGGGTCCGGTGCCAGCGCCGATGATCATGAAGACACTGTTGGCTATGACTACCTGAAGGCTGAGTCTGCTGCATCCCAAATGCCGCGTGCCGAGGCACTGCAGCAGGTACCGGATGGTGTGGAGCACCCCCAGCTGAACGCCTATCCGTTGCCCGACAGTGCCCCGCAAGTCAACTACTATGGCGCATCCTCCTCTACACTGGCGGCCAAGACCACCAAGGCACCCAGCACACCAGAACAGATCTGGACAAACTGCAACACGCTCGGCTGGTCCCGGCAGCGCGATCATCTGCAGCGCGTGCAGCTTAAAATTGGTGATATGGCGCCCTGCGAGAATATCTCCATAACGACGGTCAACTCCATGTGCATGGAGGCAACCTACCAGAAATACGACTGCTCGGTGAGTAATGACAATTTTTGGGAGATATGTATAGTCGAAAATTAAGTTATTGTATGATATTTCAAGATGTCTAAAGCACATTGAAATTAGTGAGAGAGAAAGAGAGGGAGAAAGAGTGTGGAATTAACGTAAGAGCGTGAGCAGAGATAATCTATTAGGTTGCCAACACATGTTATTTGAATTCATGAGAATCGCATAGTAGGGCGATATTAAAATTTAATTTTAAATTTGAATACGTTTTCTATCCGAGAACATATATACACATATATACATAACTATATATGTACATACATTCATATATGTACATACATTCATATATGTACATACATACATTCATATATGTACATACATTCAAAAATGTACATACATTCATATATGTACATACATTCATATATGTACATACATTCATATATGTACATACATTCATATATGTACATACATTCATATATGTACATACATTCATATATGTACATACATTCATATATGTACGTACATTCATATATGTACATACATTCATATATGTACATACATTCATATATGTACATACATACATTCATATATGTACGTACATTCATATATCTACATACATTCATATAATTACATACATTCATATATGTACATACATTCATATATGTACATACATTCATATATGTACATACATACATTCAAATATGTACATACATTCATATATGTACATACATTCATATATGTACATACATTCATTTATGTACGTACATTCATATATGTACATACATTCATATATGTACATACATTCAAATATGTACATACATTCATATATGTACGTACTTGGGCATACACACATGCGTACAGAATCAGCATGCACATATGTGAATATATAGTAACACACATTCACACATACACTCATACATATGTACATGTAAACATGCATATGTACATATGTATGCAGGCCTAACTTGAATTCTTGAGAATCGCATAGTAGGCAATGCTTAAAAATACATCATTTCTTCAATATTGATTAATTTGATCCGCGTTTGATATATGTATGTACATAAAAGAATAGATATGCATACACACACACATGCACACATACATATATACGGAATCATTTACCAACACATACATACACATATATTATTGATCAGTTTGGGAATCTCGAGTCTTATTGACTTTTTGGATTATAACGTAGTTTTTATTGTTGGGTTTATTTGCTTATCTGGTAGGGACTGTGGTTCAACCTTAATGCTAGACGCAAAAAAAAAGGTTCTATATACAATATCGTCCTGGTTTAGGGACAGACTAGGTGCTCCTTACGCTTAGATGCGTATTGAGCGTGTTGCAGTTGCTAGCAGAGCCGCATGGGGGCCAGCGCTAGAAAGCGATCGTCGTGATTTTCTGTACAGCTGAAGACGCATCCGTTTGGGCTGAGACTCGGGCCGTGCGTGCTCCTGCCTGAGTCTGTGCAACACAACCGACGCCGATTGTTGTTGTTGTTGTTGTTGTTGTTGCTGCTGCTGCTCCTGCAGTTGTCCGCGGAGGAAGCAATTCTGGCGACTCACGGCAGCAGCAGCTGAAGCGCTGCTAGGCAATGCGCCAATGAAACAGTTCTGGCGATGCACAGGTACCGCCACATAGTCCGTTCCATCGCAAAGGTCCGGTTGAATCTGGCGTATGTCAACTGCCGAGCGTCGCTGCTGGACGGGCTCGATCAGGGCACGACGCAATTTTTGCCAGTCTAGACGCAGATAGAACAGCAACTCGGGGCAGGGGAAGAGCAGCAGAAAGTACTCCAATAGCTGCTGCTCAAACACATAGCCCTGGCCATTGGTTAGCACCAGGCCGGCACGCTGGGTCTCCGGTATGTGAAAGCGAGCACAGGCTGTAAAGGTCATGGGAAAAGAATAAGTAAAGGTTGCTGCCGTTGCGGTTGCAAATTTGAATACTGCTCGTATATGATGTACCTTGGGCAATGATTTGCTCGTAGCTGCTGCCCGCCTCGCAAATGACGAAACTTACTTCGCCGCGAAAACTGATCTTCAGGCAGCTCTTCATATCCAAAATGTTGAAATTCGATGATGACGCTTGCGTTTCGAATAACTGTTACTGTTATGTTGTTGTTGCCTTTTCTCAATACACTTTCGTTCTTTGTGCGTGATGCGCTCACTTGCAATGCCGACGCTCGAATGAATGGAAGTTGGCGCGCGCTGTCTTCTTTTATGCACATTAGTAGGTGGGAGAGGGATGGGCGAGAGAGAGAGAGAGAGTGGCCTTTGGCCGATCTGGCAGTGCAGCTGCGCGCCTGCACATAGTCTATGCTCTGTCTGTAGAGTAGGTAGAGTCGTGCGTATTCGGGGATGTTTCTAGCATTTGCTATTTGTGTGCGTTTGCATGCGTGTGAGAGCGCGCGTGCTATGCGGCATATGCTCTGAGCGCGAGAAAGGGATAGTGCCTTTCGCCTTGTTGTTGTTGTTGTCGTTGACATGACGTTACTCATCTATTTTGTTTTGCTTTGCTCAGTTATTGTTCGCGAACGCGTCGCTGCATGTCGCGTTTGTTACGTGACGTCACAATCGCTATAAACAGGGTGTCGATTTATAATGGCTCCCAACGCAAATTACTTAATTTCTAACATTGTGAAATATTTTGTATACTTGCAGCAAGAGGAATACTCTGGCGCGCCCGTACAATGCCTCATACCGGGCACTAATCAATGGGCCCTAATTGGCGTCTCATCCTGGCGGATTGCCTGTGGACCGACGGGCGTCGAGCGGCCACGCATGTACGATAAGATTGCATCCAATGCGGATTGGATACGGGAGACGGTGAACGCGGTGTAGCCAGTAGCCTGTAGCCTGTCGCCTGAAGCCGTCAGCGGTACATTTATTACTCGGGCTTTCTGTAAAAACTAACGTGTATTATGTAAAAAGCTAGAAGAAGCAACCTTAAACGTAATTTACCGCATGTTTTAACCTAATATTATTATGTATGTATTATTATAACCATTTCGTATGCCCTGAACCCATCAAAAAATGGGTAATGTATTTGTAACAGGCGGTAGAAAAGCATCTCCCATCGATCAAGCCATCTCCGTCTGGCTGTCCGTATGAAAGCAAGAATCTCGGAATCTATACGAGCTAGAGTTTGCTTCCGATAATCGATAACAATCGATAAGAATCGATATCGAAATTCGGTTTGTTTGAGCGAATCTCGTAAGTTGTAAGAGCTAGACCTACCAAACTTGACATGTAGCTTTCAGAATAGTATCTTTACATACGTATATCCCGTATAATTTATGAGCTGTGTGTATTTGCTGCTATTTTAATTGGTTTCTTTTCCGGAGCCGATAAGTTTTTGCTTTGGCTGTCAAGCAGAGGCGGCAGCAATTGGCGTGATATGTTGCGAGTTCGAGTCCTATCGAGGGAACTATTTTTTAAAATTTATTTTTATTATTGTTGGTAGAAGAGGGTTCAGGGTATTCCCTAGTCGGAAGCTCCCGACTAGAGCCTACTACTTGTTTTATCTTTTTTTTTTTTTTAACTGTTTTGTGTAATATTTATTAACTATTTTAATTGTATGCTAATCAAAAAAAAAAAAAGTGAAAAAAGGATATATTAGTGTTACATTTAGCTGCTGTATAACTGCAATTTTGTTTGTATTTGTTGATAACGATTGTTTTGCTTTTGCAAATGCTAGTTGAATAAAAATAAAAATGAGTAAAAAAAAAAAACGGTGCAATTGTTCAACACAAAATCCGGATTTAGGTCGAAACATGCATGGCCTCCCATTGGCCATTCTCCTGGCGGCGATATTGCACACGATCCGCAATCTGATCCACGCCCACCTTGAGAAAATCATAGCGCTGGGCCACGAATTTAAAGGCGGTGCTGTTAAGTAAGAAGGGGTTGGCAAATGGTTAATGCAATGCAGTTTTTATGTTAGGGAACAACGTACAAGGTAGAAGGACGCTGCAGCGAGTGGCCCTGCTCTAGATGATCTTTGAGAAACTGATCATGCTTAGCCTTGAGTTCATCATAGTCCACGGGCTGTCCACAGGGAAAGATGGTGTCACGTATTTGCGCCGAGAGCGGCTCTTTGGACCACAACGCATCCAGCTCGGCATCGGGCAGCTCCACAGCGGTGGCGCCAATGAGACGCACTTGCCAGGTGTGCGGCTTGGTATCCGGCGTAGACAGCACCAATTGGGGCAACAGTATGGTAATGCCGCACTTGGTATTCGCATTGATATTCTTATAGTTGCGCGTAAAGCGCTGTGTTACGTACATAATGCATTTATCATTGCTGAGTCCGCGATAGAGCACAGTACGGTTGAGCACACCGAACTCATCATCGATGGTGGCCAGATTCATGTATTGCAACGAATCTGGCTGTTGCTTGGCAGCGGCTTCTAATAGCTGCTTGAGCAGCTCGATAGGGTCGTCTGGATAATCGACAATGCGCGAAACTGAAGATTGTGCCATATTTGAAATGCGACTGCAAAATATTAAGATGGTAAGAGATGGTAAGTAGTTTTTGAATTTGAATAAGTGCGCGCTGCACACAAGTTGGCAGCCCGACAAACTATCGACAGCAAAGCTCAGCTAGCGATGCAACGATATCGGCACTATCGATATGTCGATTGACAATCTACCAGGCACGTAAATATAAGACTACAAATTTTGTTACTGTTTATAAATACATCCCCGTTCATCAGGTTGACAACGAAATCGCTGCATGGCAAACGTTTATTATTTTTGAGGTTTGCTTGTGCAGTTACTGCTTGCGCTAACCATTAGCGCTGCGGCCGCCTAAATATCAAAGATGTCCATACTGGATATGAAGGCCGGTCCGCCGGACTATTGGGCGGAGATTGGCAACTTCTTTTTACCGCTTAAATATCTAATTACAAACGATCGTTTCGATGCACTTGTACAGAATATTGATTTGCATTACCTGATCAATGCGGTCTTCTGGATATTTATCGCGTTATTCTGCGGCTTCTACGGATTTCAGTGCGTCTTCCAGGTGAGCCAACTACAGTTAACCAGCTGCAGTTAGCGACAGCACGGCGTTCAATTGCTGTTTGCTGCGCGTGCCCAATTTGTTTGACGTTTATAAATAGTCGGCTGGCAGCTGTAATGGGGCAGCCGCAGCGGCAGCGGCAGCGGCAGCAGCAGCAGCAGCGGTGGCGACATTATGATAAGACATGCGACCAACTGCCGCGACCGACAACCATTAAGATTAAACATTATTTGCAACCAGACTCAAGCCGAACTGATATACGCTAACATGACACATACACATGCATATGCATAAGTGTGTGTGTATGTGCATATATAGAGAGATGCAGTATCTCAATCGAGAGCTAATTGACATTTACATATTTTTTGCTTGTCTTCTCGATAGTTCTTCCTTAAATCGTCGAACGTGAAGTATTTTAAGCGCAAACAATTCGCTCGCTTGATATGGAACATTGCATTCTATGGAGCCTGCTGCCTCTTTTTGCACTTCTACAATGAGTTCATGATATTGCCGCAGTTGATGAAGAACCAGGGCCGTTATTCGCTCTTCCACAGCTCGGACAATCTCATCTTCTATCGATCGCATCAGTATGAGAAGTTTCAGTTTTATTCGATATTCATCATTGCCTTCTATCTGCATGGCGCCATGCTCGACTTCAAGGAGGCTGACTTTTTGGAGACCGTCTCCAAGTGGCTCTACCTGTTCGCCCTTATCGCGATCGACGTCTACAGGCATGTGCGAGCATAAGCTAAAACTATTCATTAGTATTGAGTAATAAGAATGATTTTGTCTATCAGCAGATATGAAAACTATTTTGTCGGCCTGAATCTTACAATGGGGCTGCACAGCATACTTGCGGAGTGCCTGACCCTGCTGGCGCTGCAGAATTCGAATCGGAATCGCTGGGTCTACCAGCTGTTTATGGGTATGCGGGTTGCCGCCTGGCTGCATGTGCATATCAATTTGCTGCCCTTCAATTACTTTATACCCACGCTCTTTGCCAAGAACTTTAAGCTGCCGCTTAATGTGGCCATTTGGCTGTGGTACGGTCTCGCCATATGGAATTCACCGGTGCTGCAGCTCTTCTACCATCAGATCTATCATACCTCGCCCTCAGATTGCTCCGGCGAGGGCTCTGCGGCGAAGTGAGCGAGCACTCAGTTTGTTTGCACTCCCTTTGCTAATATGATCCTTACAGATGCATCCTGATGAGGGACAGCAGCGAGTATCGACATTACAAGACGCTCAAAAGGGCATACATCGAGGTGAAGCTGGCCCATGAGAAGGCAACATCCAATCCTCTACCAGCCACCGAATCCGCCTCGGCCAAAACCTATCAGGCCATCAAGTGTAAGCTCTCCTCAAATCACCAAAGTTTAATTCACGATCTCTAACCGATCTTTCATTGTTTTGTTTGCAGGCGTTATGATGCTGAAGCGCAAATTGAAGCGCATACGCGAGGGTCGCGGCGCCGAGCCGGAGGACGACAGAGAGGAGCTCAACGCGGATTGAGACCGGATTTGATTATTGACTGCAAAAACGGATAAAAACCAAAAAAAAAAAAACACTTTGTTTCTTCTGCTTATAAAAGACAAAGCCCTAGGCAGGGCGCTTTTTGCGCCTCTTCTTCCAACTACCTCCCAAGTCTTAAACACACGAATACATACCACATACCCAACATACCAATGAACATCACATTTACATACACACGCGCACACACGCACACACACACGCTCTCTCTAGCGCCTAGTTAGTTTTCAAATTTCACACCTAGTGAACTCTAAAGCAATAATTATTTATGTACTTATGAATGTAGCAGTAGCATATAAATCGCCTTAGCTCAACAAATCGTTGTTTTTTCGCTGTGACTTATGAAATTTCGAAATATTTGTAGTTCTATTAAAAATAAAGCAATTAATCAATTAAAAACCTTTGTTTTCATACTCATCGAATATTTGCCGTACTGCTGCATCTCGATTTGATATAAATCCATGAATCGAAAAATGTTTGATTTTATAGCCGACTCCACTTGAACAGATATTGGAAAGCATCTTCAACGTCTTGTAATTGTCAATTTGATTCACAGGAAACAGGCCAAAAAATGCATCTAATAATATAAAATTGTTGAAGATGATTTGTGATTTGATACAAAGTGAGCAATTGCATATTTTCCGTTTTATGAATATATTTTTATGGACTATTCCAAGAGTTAGAAACACGGTTAATTGTTGTTGTTTGTTGTTTTTTTTTTTTTTTTTTTTTTTTTAATATTCTTGCTTTATTGATATTTGAAAAGAATTTCTATTTGAATTTTTTTGTTTCTTTTATGCCTTTTTGTTTTTGCTTTGTTTCCATTCACTTTTCCATTAATTGTTATAAATAAGTAGTTGTTGTTTGTTTATCTTTATCATGTTTTTAGTTCTGTTTTTCGGTTTCTGTTTCGTGTTGTTGTTTGTTTTTGTTTTTAAACCACATTGTTTTGTTTTAAAAATTCTCACTAGTTGCTAAGTTCTTATTTTTTTCTTGTTTTTATTTATTTATTTATTTTTTTGTTGTTGTTGTTATTTTTGACTTTTTTCATTTGTTTTGTTTTTGGCATTTTTTCTTTGCATTAGTTTAATTTTAGACGTTTTGTGTTGCCAATTTGCATTTTTAGAAAATTCTCAAACAGCTTTACGAACAAATTTACGTTTTTCAGTTACGTTTTTGGGTACCACAAATTATTTGTGATTGTGTGAATGAAAGGGTGTGCTGTGGTGCTGTGGGGGCATGGGGCGTGGTTGGATTTGGGGCGGGACGGTGCGGGAAAGTTTGTGCATTCTCAATGTGTTTTTGTTGTTGTTGTATTCGTGGTGCAGGGCAAAAGTCTTGCAAACAACTCGGCATTCGGATGCCCTTCTATTCCCAAAGCCTTTTAAAAGTTCATATGTTGAGCACAAAAAAAAAAAATAGTTTTGGGATTTTTACAATTAGCTTTTAGATTTTGTAAATCGTAAATTTTTTAGTTTCTTTTTTGGATTTCGTTTAAGTATATTTAAATTGTTTTTGGTATTCTTTTTGTTAAATTTTCTTTGTGGCTTCATTCATTGCTTACAAATTAATTCAATTCGTGTTTGTATTTTTTTTTTTTTTTTTTTTTTTTTTTTTTTTTAGGTTTTTCAATTGTGTTTTGTTATTTTTCATAGTTTTCGTATTTTCTAAACAATTTTTCAAAGTTTTGTTAACAATTTGCTGTGTATACCGCTTACCGTTTCGTTTCGTTTCGTTTCTTTAATGTTAAATTTAATTTTACTATTAAATTTATGTTTAAAATTAATGTTAGTTGTTTGTTCTTGTTGTTTTGTTTTTGTTTTGCTTAAATTTTGCATTTAAAGGTACGTTCTAAAAAAAAAATGTTCTTATTATTTCTTGTTTGTTTTTTTTTTTTTTTATGTATATATATATATATATATTATATGTTGTAATGTATATTTACTTGTTATATCCCCCTCTCTATACGCATATATATTGTAACATGCATATGTAAATTGTTGCTCTTCGCTTGATAATACATATATATATATTGATCTATATATATATATATATATTTTGTTGCGACTGTACTTAAACACGAATATTCGTAAACTTTGCGCTCATTTGGTAACCTTCACAATAAAATTATGAAATTTTCCCAGTGTTTGTTTAAATGTTTTTTGGTTTTCTTTCATCTTGATTTTTGAGCTTTGGTAAAAAATACTTCAATATTTTCACATACTGCTGGGGGCTTTGTAATATACATAAATGTGTTATCCCATGCTTTTATGTTTTAATTTCTGTTTTTATTTAATGACTAGTGATATTTATATGTGCTGAAATTGCCGCCAATTAAGAGGGACTTCAAATTTGCTGCTATTTTTCCGCACATAAAAACTTTCAAAAATTGCCTAATCAAATTTCCTTTTTTGTTTTGTTTTTTTTTTTTTTTTTTTTTTTTTTTTTAGCGAACATACAATCTGTGCTTTTTGAAATGCGTTTTTCATTTGTAACATACAAAAAAAAAAAATTAAAATCAAATGTGTATACATTTTAGTAGCTTTTGTTAACTTTGAGCATTTCCCTTTACGATTAGTTCAAACTGTACTCTGGCTATGAATCATGCAACAATATGGTAACACTGTTTATAAAAGTTGAACATTTCACGGAGGCACAGCAGCGCTCTCAAGAGCTGACTGCTATGCGCACGCAATCTTATGGCGATCAGCTTTCTGGCTGTCAATCATTGTAAGAGGCAGTTGAGAGCTACGCACAGCAGATTTTTAAATAATTCTATTAAAAATGCATTTAATAATAGGTCTGTGAATTGTGTGCGTTTTAGATAGATTAGATTTAAAAGACCGCATACGTAATGTTTAGGTGCTGAGAAATTGCACGTTAGCCTAGAGCCGAATATGTTACATGCTTGAGTTTCTTTCGACCGACATTTTGTCTCAATTATGGCTTTTAATTTGATTAGCTAAACAATAATCGCACAATCAACCATTCAATATACAAATACACTTAGACATCAATCGCACTCGTCGCAAATCAAATCAATGCAAATGAAACGGGCAAACAGACAAACAAACGAGCGAAAACATTTCAAATGAAATTAAATTCTAATTAGCCAAAAATGTTGCCTTAGGTGTTCTGCACAGTTGGCCATTAGGGGGCAAGCTGGTGGGGGGCTGGGCATGATAATGAGTCCGCTGAAAATGAGCGGCACGCGCAACAATGCAAAATTTGAGTATAATGAATGAAATTATGTTGAAAACATATTTTTTGTGCCCCAAAATGAGAGAAAACAAAAAGAGAAATGTGTAAAAACTGTTTGCTTCCGCTTTGGCGTACGCCCAAAGTTCGTCCTTTGTCCATTTTTTGGGCTGTTTTCCTATTAGCAAGCAATAAATTTGTCGCTTCTATTGAGCGCCAGTGTCCAGTCGCCCTACCCCCCCTCCACGACCCTTCTGTATAGCTAGGTGGAATAGATAGGCCCATTAAACAAGTCGCGCGGACCGACTGCTCTTTCGCAATGGCGCCCCAGGGGTGTGGTGGTGGGGGAGGGGGGGGGGTGTGTTGCTGGGCAGATTGGAGGCTCTAACTTTATGATTGCTTTTGTATTGCCCAAGCTCAAACACTGAGGCGAGCGATGGGACGGGTCGGATCGCGTTGCGCGTCTCAGGGCAATAGATAAATGCTGTTACATACTTTTAGGAGCTGCACGGCAAAAGTTATAACACAACTCGCTGATACGCATCGCAGCGCGCAGCCAGGACCAGCCAGGACCAGCCAGGACCCTGGCATCAAACAGCAAAATGCATGAAACAATGTGAATTACAATAACAACAGTAGACATAAGGCAATTGTCTGTGTGTGTGTGTGTAGGGGGGGGGGGGGGGGGCGTGTGTGTGTAATAGCTGGGCGCGGCGCAGTCAGACAGTCAAGGCGATAGCCGGGCTAATGTCCTTTTTGTGTGGCCACAGCTGGTATTATTGTTACTGTTGAAGCTTCTCCTCTTCTTCTGCTTCTGCTTCTCTTTCTCTTTCCCTCATTCTCTTGCTCGTTGTCGTTGTTGTTGTTGCCGCAACAATTATGATTTGCGGTTGGCTTCAATGTCGCCCAGCTGCCCGTCCAGGCGACAAGCGCTCACAGAAAGAAAAGCAAAATATAGGCAAAAACTAAAAAAAAAAAAAAAGAAAACAAAACACCAAAACGAAAACAAGAAAAAATAAGACAACCAACAAACGCGTAGCGAGTTGCCTGCTTGGCCCCGTCATTAAAAGTGTTTAAAAACTTTCGACATTTGGGGTTTTTTTTTTTTTTTTTTTATATATATCAGCCCCTTTTCTGTGCCCGCCCCTCATATATGAGCAGCATAAAATAACAATTTGTTATTGGTTAATGGCTTTTCGTTATGTGTGCGTGCAATTTTTGCTCGCCTGCATTTTCATTTAATGTAAAGTGTTGCACAACGCTAAAAGTCGTCAGCAACAGAAAGAAGATGCTGATAATTAAGGGAACGCGAATCATGCTGCAGTCAGACCATAATTAAGTTATCTGCCAATCTATCGGCCCCAAACATAATTGGTAAATGTTTATGACCGCATTCATTATCTATTCAATTAAAATATATGTGCTTTAACATTATAATTTAATTGTGCAATCGTTTGCACTAAAGAATATACACAACACTGCCCAGTTAAAGGATCGTGAGCAGATCGCTGTCTGCTTTGCAGAGCACTGTTACAGACGACGCTTGGGCTGCCTGTGTACGGGGCGCGTACAGCGGCGGTTAACAGTATTCTGTTAGCTGTGCTCAACTTTCTTGTTGGGCATTTTTGTGGCGCTGTTAAAATTTCCCTAGCCAATGTTGAGCTTAACATGACCGTTTAATTTTGGATTTAAACGTTTCTCAAGCGCCTTGCAATTCGAAAAACATTTTTATTTGCCGCTGCCTTAATCAACATTATTTGATTTTGATTGTTCACGGAAATGCAGATAAACGTGGATAAATGTGGAGCCAAAGCAAACCAAAAACAAAACCAGGCCAACTAACTGGCAACTTTTTGGCGCCTGAACACTAAATACACTTTTTTATTTTTGTGTTTCGTTCATGTCAAAATGGTCGTTGCTTTTGTTGCTGCTGTTGCTGTTGTTGTTGTGGCTGTTGGCACGTGACCCGCTCGGGCAGGTAGCCGCTGTAAATTGTGCGCATAAATTGCAGCACAATTGCAAATTTGCATAAATTATGAGAGGCGCGAGTGCATTAAAAAGGTGAACATACCAAGAGAAAAAATTTATATTCGACGTGCCGAACATTAAATACCCGGGTTCATTTAAAACACAACAAATTGCTGCACCTTAACTATGTACGTGTGTGTGTGTGTGTGTGTGTGTGTGCGAGTATATGCTATAACGATATAATAACTTGTCAAATGTTCCATGTTTATTGTTCGGTTATATTTGCCATTTAGCAAGGCAATCGTAATACCCTCTCTGCAAGGGCATATGCCCAACAATATACGGATCATCCCTGTTGTTGATCTGCGGCCATGTTGCTGGCTGTGGCCAATTAGGCGCGTTGCACGCGCGCGCAGCTGACAAACTAAAATTGAATTTCAATTCCAAATGCTGATTATTTACTGAGCACACACACACACACACGCACACGCATAAGCTTGCCAAAGCACACACACTTGGGCATAATAACTAAAGCTTTGTGCTAACCAATTGCCGCAAGGCGCGCACGCTGTTTATTTGCATTAATTTGCATGCATCATTTAACCCCCCCCCCCCTCTGCTCCTAACTTTACCCATTTGTGTCAAATTCATAGAAAAAAAAAGGTGAATAACAACAATAATTATAATTATGATTCTGGCTAAGTTTAGCTAACTATGTAACATTTTGACTAGCATTTCCTGTGTTTGCCAGAGTTCCAGAAATTACGGACTATCGTTTATCGGCTAACAGTTATCGAAATGTCAATTAGAAGGGACGAGTTAAGTGGAATCGATAGTTCCGCCTGTGAACTAGCTGTTGATCAGCTGAACAGCTGGCTGTTTACCTGAACAATTTCTGTTTTGGAAATCAAATGTATATATAATAATATCGATGCGAACATGATTGCGAAACTATGGACATGTGTTCGGACCTTGCTTTCGAGCTGTAAATACATATATAAGTCTGGCAACGCCAGCCACAATGATACAATTACAATTGCAAGCAGAACAAGTTCCAGTTCATTTGAAACTTTAAATGGCCGTTTCAAATTCAAAATTGAGTTATAGCTGACGCTGATGAAATAATTAATTGCGAGACAACCAAATCGCATATTTGGTACATTTCTGGAATTGCCTGTCGTCAAATTTGTCTAACTTGTTCCTCTCGTTCTTAATTCATAAATTGTTTTGTGCTTAATTCTTTTGTTGTTGTTGTTGTTGTTGTATTCGTTAAACATTAGTGTACAATTTGAGCTATAATTAGTTAGGGTTCGTTCATTATCATTCCTTTACCTTATGAATACATATGTAAGTATATAACAAATACCTTTATTTAGCTATATAGCTGTGTTATAGTTATAGTTACTTGGATTTTCTTCTTCATCATCTTCTTCTTCTTGTTTGTTTGTTTGTTTATTTGTTGTTGTTGTTGTTGTTGTTTTTGTTGTTGCTGTCGCGGTTGCTGCCTGTTGTCACGATACAAAAAATAAATTAAAAGCGAAATTCTCATGTTGTTTTTCAGACTGTCTGTGTGTGGGCACATACATATCAACGTGGGCGTGTCAGTGAGTGTGTGTGTGTGTGTGTGTGTGTGTGTGTGTGTGTGTGCTATTGTTGATGCCGTTGTCATCCTCATGGCATTTACAACACAGGCCTCGCCACATTCGGCTTGGCCGTCGTAGAGGCAATCTCCGACAGCTTGATGTCAATGGGTACGCGAGTGTCGTAGAGCGTGGGCGCCTGCAGGATAATGCCGGCCGTGCCGACGACCACAGCTATTGTGAATATCCAGAGGAAGAGTCGATCCAGTACCATGGCAACATACTTCCAGTCCTCTTTGACCTGTTGGCAGAAAAACAATATATGTTATATATGTGTTACATACGATGAATCAAATAAAATGATAAGCTCAAAATCCATATCAAAGAGTTTGAATGAATTATTTGCTAAGATCAGTCGATAATCCAAGAATTAGAATCCGAATGGATTACTAGGAGATGAATCAAAAGAGAAAGATTCGCTTGATGCCTTTTGGAATAGCACTTGTCAAAACGAATCATTCGAATCATTGAATGAGCATTAAATTATGCTCATTCGTTTAGCATAATTATAGATATTTTTTACACAGTTAAAGGCAGCGTTATAAAAAAAAACTGAATACTCATTTATCAATCAATCCATGCGCATTAAGTCATTCGCATTATATTCATTGACAAGAAGCATCTAATTGGATACAAAATCAATGAGCATTCAGATAGTCTGATTACATAAGTGAGTTAATGCTTAACATATATTGAATCGTTATACAAAAATACAAATTGAAATGAATGCTGTTCGAGTTATTCAATTTGATTCAATGTGTGTAAAAACAATAGATAGATAATGAGAAATGGAAAAAAAAATTCATATTGAACATATGATTGAATGTGTGAATGATATTTAGAACGTATTGAAAGACAAACAAAAATGCAATGAACTGAACCTGAATAAATGAAGTGAATGACTCAATTCGTTAACAAATCATTCAATGTATATATATATGTATATATCAATAATAACAATAATTCAATAAACTTAATATAATATTAAATCAAATCATTTACATTATAAAGGATTATCTGATTGAATGCGAGAATCAGCTTGCAAGTGATTCAAAGTACTTGCTGTTAACTGAGTCATATTATCGAATGGCATGCGAGTAGCTCAGTGTGTGCACCAAGACATTCGAAACATTTGAATTGACATGAGTTCTTTTTGGCCCATTTATAGGCGAGATATGATTGACACGCTGTCAGGACTCACGACCATTCAGTTGACTCTATGGATTCACCTTCCGTTTCCGTGCCCACAGCATCTGCCCGAATGTGTGTTAAATGCCAGCGCACTTTGGCAGAGCCAACTGTTCTATTATGTGTGCTCTGTCTGATGTTTTCTGATGTCTCACATAACTCGGTACTTGCCGCTTGCCGCGTGCTATGTCCTGCATGTCCTGCATGTCCTGCGTATGCTGTGCTGTGCTGTGCTGTGTTGTGTGCTGTGGCAGGGCTTAAGCCCAGCATGACATTCCAATAATGATTGAATGTGTGCGTAATTTTAATAAAATACTTTTATTGGCATTTGTGCCGCCACAAGACATTCATTATGCCGTGGCAAACTACTTGCAAGGACTGCACAGGGACGCCAAGGACCTGCCGGGCGTGAAAAGTCATTAAAACTTTTCGATGCTTCACACTCGCAGACAGGAAACGAAAGACCACCACGGGACATGCATGATGAAAGGTCAACCAAAGGGCAAGCCTGTCTCCAGCTTGGACCATATTATCGGCAACATCATCATTATCATCTGGAAGCGTTAGCTGGTAGTTGTGCTCATTTGTTACCGCCATTGTCCTGGCTAGGTGTCATCGAGTCGCCGCCCATCGATTATTGACGTTCCAATAAATCCAAGCTAAGGCCTCTCTAATTTATTGCGCCCGCCAGCGCGTTGCCCTATTAACATTGTGCGCCCAATTTTGTAGGCCCATGGCCCAATACCTAATCCCCGATCCGCCCTATGCCATGACAGTTGCCTGGCACTTAGGCTAAACCCCCGCCAAATGCTAAGCGGCTTTCGGCTTTGCCTGGCGACATCGCTTAGCCTCATTTGGCGTCTGGCAGAGATTCAGATTCAGGTTCAGCTTCAGCTTCAGCTTTAGCTTCTACGGCTTTGCAACTCACCCGTGTGCTCTCCTCCTCTTTGCGCGTCTGATCCGCAATGTACGTGACGCCGTCCATGGCTTTGTGGAGCTCCGGGCAGGTGTGCCAGCGCTGGCGCACATTGCCCCGCCCCGTACAGCAATGGGGGCCGCCCTCGCGCTGGCAGGCGGGCAGTATATCACAGGCCGGCGGTGGTGGTGGGGGCGGCGTGATACCCCCCGCAGCCGCCGCCGCGGCAGCCGCAGCCGCAGCAGCAGCTGCTGAGGTGCTGGCACCTGATGCCGATGCCGATGCTGACGCTGCTGCTGCCGCTGCCGCTGCCGCTGCCGCCGCCGCCGCCGCAGCCGCGGCAGATGTGGTGGGTCGGTGCAGATGCAGCAGCTCCGAGGATTGGCAGGCGGCGCCGGCGCCCATGCCCTGGTGTATCTGTATGGTGCCGCTGCAGCAGGAATCGGCCAGCGTCGAGGCGGTCGCCACCGAGTTGACCGTCGTTGTGGACTTTATCACATTGGGATTGTGGTTACCGCCCAGGCCCAGGTCGCTGGTGTTCGTCGAGGCGTGCGCCTGATGCGCATGCAGCGGCAATGGCGAGAAGTTGGCCGAGCAGCTCGACTGCTGTCGATACAGATGATAGCTCCCAGCCTGGCTGGCTTGATGCGTCAGCGTTGAGGTGGAGCTGCTTTTGCCGGCCCCACCACCAGCCGCACAACCACCGCCGCCGCCGCCGGCAATGTAATGATGATGACCGGCTCCATTCTGGCCCGTCTGGCTCGAGGTGGAGGTCATCTGACGGAACTTGGTCGGCGTCAGCGGATGGTCCAGCAAAGAGCCACCCGTCTGCTGGTACTGATTGTGGTACTGCGCATCGATTAGCGAGGATGTGGTCGAGGTCTGCTGGTTCACCGTCGACATCGTTGGCGGATACAGCGAGCTCAGATGTCCAGTGATCGTCGATGCACCGCAGCCGCCGCCTATGCCGCCCAGTTCGTCCATCAAGCTGAGAGCCTGCACCCTGTGCTGCAGATGCGGCGAGGTGCTGCGCGACGTTGTCTTGGGGCTGTGGTGCATGCTGCAAGTGCCGCAAATCAAACGTTAGTTGCACACAAACCAGGCCGGACAAGCCGCACACACTTACCGGGACAGTGCCACGGGCGGTGGCAGCGGTGGTATTTGATCCCTCAGCTCGAGTCCATTGCAGGTGCGCACCATGAGCCGGCGCGAGGACTTGCTGCAGGCAACAAATGGAAATGGCCAAACTCAATTAATGCGATTGATTAAGTTATGCAACACAGAATTTATATACATATATATACATATATTTTCAAGGGCACATACATCATTTCGCTGATCGGATAAAGCGGTCGGCGCATCACCAAAAAGCGCGGCAGCTGATTGATGAACACCGTGCGCACCCAGGGCGCCATCGTGTGCGTCTGCGGCGACCGGAAATGGATGTTCAGCACCAGGACCGTCACGCAGATGCTGCAAAGGAGACAAACGTGGCGCCAGTTAGTGTGTGTGTGCGTGTGTGTGCGTGTGTGGGCGTTGTCTAGTCTTTTAGTCCGGCTAATTAACTTGTGACGCCCGCGTCTGCCTAATTAGCTGCCAGTCCGGGCACAGGCAGAGGCAGAGGCTGCTGTTGTGGCCATTGCCTTAATTACATCATTTGTGTTCCAAGTCCGAGTCCTGTTGCGCCAAACGGCATGGCCATTGTGCTCGTCTCCTCTCGACTCGACCTGAGTCACAGCCAGAGCCACAGCCACAGGCAGCCAAGGAACGCGCTCCGTGTGAGCTCCGGACAAGGCTCCGTCAGCCTCGACTTTTGTTTACAAACAATTAGGCGGCCATTTGTGCGGCAACTGTGGGCGTGGCAAATGGCTGTAAATTGCGGGGCCATTTTTGAAGTTTGACTTGCGGCCGAGTCGAGGCGAGGCGGTGTTAACTCAAGTCAACTCGACTGGGGCGTGGCATGTGGGCAACTGGCCAAACGAATAAGCTCAGGTTAAAAAACGAAGAAAATCTTGCGTTTGACCGTCAAGCAGATATCCTAGTTATCGAGCACAAGAAACTCTAAAATAAAATCGAAAACGAACGAACGTAAAAATCGAAGCTCCGTCAAATAATTCCATCGTTTCGGTTAGGAGAGGCGGTGTCCAAATGTGAATGGTGCTTCAATATGCCCCGTCTATTTATATGTAATGGGTATGAGTGTATACCCTAAATAAAAGAATCCAAGCTCGTGCAATTTTATTTTTTGCATCCGGTTCCGCCGCGGCGGCTGTCTCATAAACCAGGACAGGACCAGGCGGCAGGCGATAGGCAGACAGACAGGTGAACACAGCCACGCCCACCCCAGGGTACAGTTAACCGTTATCAGCTGGCATGCAAATCGAACGTGCTTTGGCATTCGCATACGCAATCGTATTCATATTCGTTTGGCATTCACATTCATAGTCACATTCACTCACCTGAACGTATCCAGTATCATGGTGAAGAGCACAAATTTTCCGAGCAGCGGCACCACCAGCGACGTGGGCGGAATGATTTCCGCCAGCAGCAGGAAGAACACAGTGAGCGACAGCAGAATGGATATGCTTAATGAGACCTGCAACAGACAGAGATGGGCAACACTTAGAAAGAGAGAATCAGAGTGTGAGCTAGAGAGAGAGAGAGAGAGCAGAAAGTCAAGCGATGTTCTAGTCAAGTTCATTTGCAGATTTTAGACGGTCGACGGAACAGCGCAAGGGATTTGGGAAATTGAGTTGCAGGTGAGCGGAAAAGCGAGTTGCCGCCGCGCTAAGGGCTTGGAGCGCCAGCCCTTGCCGCCATTAAGGAGCGACAATCGCAAAGCGCTCGCAATCAAAATGTTGCCGATAAGGTTTATGTGTGTGCATTAGTTGCATGAAAGTACAAATATAATTATGTTGACATGAGTTTACTTGGCTTTGGGATACCCCTTATAGACATTTATTCCCTTAAAGGATTGGCTAATCATCTTGTAGTCTTTAAGTCTTTAGTCTCTAATTGGTTTCCATCAAGTTGCTTAAAAATAAACGAAGCAGTTTCATTGATTTGTTTTCCACCAATATTCCACAGCTGCGGGTGGAATATTCCAGAGCGGACTGTTCCGGCTGAGCGTGCACATAAACTAACTTGAATAAAAGCCTAAGCTTTACACGTGCTCAGACTCAGCTAGTCAGCCTTTAATAAAAGTGAACTATTTGAAATCGGATTTATCGTATATAATTATTAAAAATAAATTTGATCAACATACGTAATTCTGTTGAGAATGACCTGCGACTTGTTGAAGTATGTGCCATTCATTGCCATTTAGAGTTTTGCCAAAGGCATTTTCATTTGAAGTCCAACAATGGAGCTTCCATTACTATCTCGGCTATGGCTTTGGTTGAGGCTGGGGTCAGGCATATTGTATTCAAAAGGAGACCTCACATAGCATGAGGACTGCGTATGGGTGGCTTTTATTCAATGACAGAAATGATTACTTTTGCGTATTTTAAGAGTTTATTCAGCTGTGTGGCCTCGACAACAACAATAGCAGCAGCAACAGCAGCAACAGCAGCAACACCAGCAACAGCAACAAAATTATCTGAATTTATTCAGCTAATTCAAAAAGCATTCAGTTAAGCAGCATGTAAACACAATTTGATTTTATTCTCTTTTGTATGCATTCCCATGGTTACTTTATTTGCGCAGCAACAAAATTAATTTCGATTCATTTGCAAGCATATTTGTATTTTTGGGAATTTTATACTCGAGTTATTAATATATATAAAAATATATATATATATATCCATAGAAAGTCAAAGCAAATTTCAATTGATTTGTGTGTGTGGGTGTGTGGATGTGTGTGTGTGTGTGGGTGTGTGTGTGTGTGTGGTATATGCATAAACAAACAGAAGATGGAGTTGGTGAAGAAGAAGAGTCGACAACGACAACGACAACACAAACAACAACAACTACAAGAAATATAAATTAACATATAGAAAGCTGAGTAGCTGCCGCCTCCGCCTCCGTCTTTGCCTACCCTCCCGTCAGGCATCCACTGTGGGATGAATAAACTGTTCTATAATAAATTTCTCTGAATAAACTTCTTCTATAAAAGCTGTTAATGTAACATTTGTCTAGATAACATCTGTTAAGCAGAGCTCGCGTGGGATTTTCATTAAACGAAAATGTAAGCGTAGGCAACAGCTGTAAATATAACATTTGTCTAGATAACAGCTGTTAAGCAGAGCTCAGGTGGGATTTTTATTATGTGTTTAATTAAAAAATCTGTTATCTGTGGCGCATAGACAGACCGTTAGATGAAACTGGCTTTTACTTATGTTACGTATTTTTCGACGAGACCTAGATGCTAAGGATTCAAAAGAAATTGGAGGAAATTAGTTATAGCGTTTATTTGCACTTGCGGTGGATTAGCCATTCGGATTTTTTTTCAGACGTCTGGTGAGTGGAGTTTGTACAAGCTGCTGCAAAGCTGTCTAAAAGGGTGTACGAATGTTGTTTTATTTTTGCCTGTAAAAGCCATATTTTGCACCATGGTGTCTGGCAGGCTTCAATATTCGCAGCATATATATCTCGGCGTCGAGCACATAAAAACCATAGCATACTTCGCAGCTAGCTCAATAAAGCAAACCCAATATGATTTGTTGTGTAAGTGTAGGACAACGTTACGAAGTGAGAAAGAGATAGCGAGAGAGAGAGATAGAGACAGAGAGGTAAGTGAGCGAGCGGGGCAGCTACAGCCAGCGGCTGCCAAGTTGTATTAACTGCTAGGCACGGCTGGCTCAGCTGCGGGTCAGGACAGGTGGCCCAGGTGGCTCAGGTGGCTGCATACTCTTTCGCCGGTATGCATGAAAGTGTTTGTGTGTGTGTGTGAAAGCTGCTTGTAATGAAGTGTGCTGAAAAAGTAATTAAATGTCGAAACTGAGACGGACAATTTGGGTTCTTCTGCTGCTGCACAAAAACTCAAATGTCTGCATTGTGGGCGTGAGTGTGTTTGAGGACGTGTGTGTGTGTGTGTGTGTGTGTGCGGCATAAATTTGATGCCTAATGATTTTATGATAATTAGCCTTAGTTGTGCAAAGTGCTGTAAAGCGATTAGAGCGCTGACTAATTAAGGCTGCAAGTCGCTTTTGACAAGCGACATGTACAAAGTTCTCAACCTGAAATCACGTGGCTTAATGGGCCATTCGCGTAGGGAGAAAGTGTGAGAGGGTAGGGCAAGGGGGTGCGACATTATTTATGCAAATGTGTTTATGCTTGTGTGTGTGTGTGCGTGTGCGTGTGTAATTAATGTGCACTACATTTTCGCGCCTGTGTCGCATTCAGCCGGGATTCAGAGGCTGACCCACATATGTAGTATAAAATGTGATTGTTTCAACAATATATATAAAAAAAAAAAAGCAAAAATAAATACAAGCACAGTGGGCGCTAAAAGTGTAACGACCACAGTGGCTGCCCAGTGCCCAGCTACTTAGTATTGGACACGAACGCAGCTCCGGCAATTGAATGAATGGAGTGCGTTGCGCCGCATATGCATGTAAATTGCCAATTGCAATTCCAATTCGAATTCTGAATCCGATTTCGACTCCGATTGGCCCGCTACGTGCAAAAGCTGCGATAGTTATTCCAAACTTTATTCGGGCGATTCTATGGCCCACCAATACTGATCCTGGAATGTGTGCTGCCCATCGCTGGGAATGCGCTGTTCAATATGTTGACCGCTTTTAGGCGCAAATATTTGTGCGGGCCCTGTGTGTGCTCTGTCCATCAGACCACTTGACCATCTATCTGTCTGGCGTGCGACCATAAAAGGAACGAAAAACACGGCCGGCTCGACTGGCTCGTTAAATAAAAAGCCAATGAATTGTTTATTCGAGCCAACCGAAACTGAATTGCCATTGCCATAGCCATATTATCCTCAGGCCTCAGACCTCGGCCCAGTCGCTCACTTAACCAATTCTCTCTTTTATTTTGAGCTGTTTAGCGCTTATCTTGTCTCGTTCCAATCTTAATCAAGGCAATGCAGCTCTGCTAAGCTGCTAAGCTTAGCGGCTGTTATTTTAATCGAATATACTAAATATTGCTTATCGATCAGCTTCGTTTTATCTCTTAGTACAAATGTTCTCGCACATGAACGAGTCTTGGCTTACTCGCCCGACTTTCTTCAACGAGTACTTTCTTCATCGCAATTGTTTTCTCGTTTGACATTTTAATGACCGTTTGTTTTAAAGAGTCGTCTCCTGCTGTATTATCAGCGAGTCAGATGAAGTCATTTGTTGCTACAGCCACGATTGACAATTAAGTCAATTTACATAAATAATTTAGAGACTCTTGTAACATCATTGTTGCTACATCAGCGATTAAATTATACTCGCTCTTGTGACACTCGCGAGTAGAAAATTGTACTCTATCGTTTAACAACAAAAACTAATAAAATATAGTTTTGTCGCAGCAGCGAATCATAATTTACTCGCTACTTTTCAGCTAAGCCAAGACTCTCATAAAACACAACGAGTGTTGTTTCACTCGCTGGCGTGGCACAATTGCTGATGTAACTTGTCGCTTCAACGAGTGTTGTACTTCCCGCTCGTGTTACTTTAACGAGCGTATATTTTTACTATTTTCTGGGCGCTGTGCTGTGCTGTGGTAAGAGATGTTTTTGTTGCAATTCCATTGGAGAATTATCGGGTTATGTAATTATTTAACTCGTATAATTTGCATTTGCGGATTCTCTGGCGAATCGCTTTATCCGGCTGTCACAAGGCAGTAGGCGTGCTCCATCAAATGGACGGTATGTACTGTCAATATTTATTACACAAATTATGCATGACGGCTGATGCGCAGCGTCGCTGCCAGCGTCGACGTCAGCGTCGTCGCCAGCGTCAACGGCGACGTTAGATGCTCACAAAAACCGCGCTCATATACAAATTATTTTTGAGTTTTATTTATTTTGAAAATTGACCGTAATTTATTCATAAGTCCCCACAGCATGTTAATATTTATATTTATGCATTATGCCGTTATATTTTTACTTTCACAATTTTTTGTTTTATATTTTTCTGTCTCTTTTGGGCCGTTTTTTTTGCCACAGCGGGCGGCACAAAGAATCGCGCTGAGAAATGTGCAGAGCAAACCACAAATCGCGCGCGTTTTTTAACGCTCACAATTCATCTGTGTCGGTGTGTATGTGTGTGAGTGTGTGTGAGTGTGTTTGAGTGTATGCATATCTGCTCGCATTAAATTGAATTCAACATGTAATTTTATTTATTCAAAGTTAAATGGCGGCAAATAGTGAAAAAGAAAGAACATGTTGAAATGCATTTTCATTTTCATTTTCATTTTCATTTAAGCGTGAAATTATTATACCCTGTACCCATTAAAATGGTTTAGTCTGTTTGTAAATGTTAAAGGACTAAATGGACTGAGTTCTTAATATATATTATGCATTTATTTCATTTGTTTTCTAAAAATTGGATTTCCTAAATTCCCACCTAAAGCACTGCTTGGAGATTTGAAGAGCTTTCCACACAAAACGTGGTATGTTCCCGTATTTCTATTCGGATATCACTTCCTCGGAATGAGAATACGTATTTGAAGAGGTATATGCTAGCCGTATTCTTCATGAATATACATATATTCACACATGAATACCATCTCTAAGCCCAGATCATGGCGGTCGGACAATAAGAAATACAATTTTAACAGGTACGACTGTATGCTACGGGTGCAGGGTATTTACAAGCCGACTACTTTCAGCTAGCGGGACACTTGTTTATATATATTTTTTTTTTGTTTTTAATTAAAAGCACATTGAAAGGGGGTCCTGTGAAAAGTGTGTGTGCAATAAATTATGGCAATTGGTTGAAAGACCATAAAAGAAAATATCTACAAAAAAAAAAAAATAATAACAACAAGAAATGGAAAATGGAAAATAAATGTAGATGCATCAGCTGGTGGTTCATTCTGAATGTTGACAATTGAAAGAAAAGCTATTCAAAATGAAATTGCAATGCGCCGCATATAAACTCACTTTCTCGCCGCTGTCCGATGGCAGGTAAAATACCAATATGGTTAAAAAACTGATGCCCATGCAGGGTATGATCAGGTTGACCGTGTAGAAGAGCGTCTTGCGTCTCATTGTGATGTTGAATGTTATGTCCAGATAGGGCTCATCGCAGCACGTATAGAATTTTTCATTCCTATAGAAAACAAAACACAGAAAGTTAGTTAAATAGAGAAAGAGAGAGAGAGAGAGAGAGAGCATAGGTTAGAATATGCCACATGGCTCGTAAATGTTTATTTATTATAGTCCGTTGTTTGCTGCTTCGCAGACAGCACATCCGCAACGGCATCATATATTATGTGTGTGCTGTGTGTGCTGTGTGTGTGTGTGTGTGTGTGTGTGTGTGTGTGTGTGTGTGGGGCAAGCCCAAAGCACATAAATCATCAGCGCCACGATAAATATTGAAAAAGCTCACAATAATTTCTAAAGGCTTCGTTCTGACTCTCAAACTGCTCGCTGCCTGCCAAACTGTGGCCCGCGGACTTCGGCGCCTGCCCCAATCCTCACCCCGCTCAGCCCGCCTCTCAGGCCGTATATGTTGGCTAATGAACCTGACACCAGTCGCGCTGCCGCTTGTCCAGTCGGCTCCTGTCGTCTACATAATTTAAAAGTTAATAATCTTTAACTGCCAGCAAAACAAGAGAGAAGGGAAAATAAAAAATAATAAAAACAGAAAGCAAGCAAATTTTGTAAATTGAGTCAAGAACTTTTTGGCGACCGCACTTGAAAAACTCTCGAGTGGACTGGAGGGGGAAAACAAAATAATAAAAAAAAAAATAAGGTAAAAAAAGAAATGTCCGGCAGCTAGGCAACAACAGTGGGCAAAGGGTTTGGCCTGGCCTGGCCTGGCCTGGCCTGGCCTGGTCTGGCCGGGCACGGCCTGGGCACTGCAAGGACTTGTGTATGTTGTATATTTGCCATCAATAATTCCGAGCGGCTTGCGGCTTCATTTTGAATAAGAAAATATTGTAAATAAATAATAAGCAACAAAGGGGCGGGCAGGAGCGCAGCACGAGCAGAGCTCTTGCTGTATTCGGCAGAACCGTCGACAGTGCTGCTGCCGGGACAACTAAGTATTTCTGGCAGTTGATTTTCCTACACACACACACTCACACACACACACACACACACACAGATAGACATGAAGTATGTGGCAATAGATGGCAAAGCTGAGGTTAGGAACAACGATAATGATGACGATGACGATGAAAACAGGCACAAGATGCTTCGACAGATGCTTATCACATGGCCAAAATAAAATGACCAAAATATGTCCAGCTAAGCGTTGAACACAGTTTAAGATGTGTTTGAGTAGTTTTCCATATACCCTGTTCGAATTATGAAAATGGGCACAAAGGGTATAATGGTTTTGTTCAAATGTATGCAACAGCCAGAAGAAAACGTTCCTAACCCTAAAAGGAATATGTGTATATTCTTGCCATAACTTCATTTTCATAACAACGATAAACATCGATTTTTAGACATGGTTTTCCTTTTAACTATATGGACTTGGTTTATAGTATGCACAGATTGGAGGTATACCATAAACTTCGGCTTAGGTAATTACACAATATTTATTGCACGAAAGTTATTCAAGCACGAATTTTTCCTAGTGTGGTGCTAAGCTTCCTTATAAACAAGGTTGAATGTTTTGAACGGCAGCTTGCAGCTGGATACAGGGTATCTTATTATTAGACCACTCAGAGAGAGAGAGAGAGAGACAGAGGATGAAATTGAAACTAACATACATTATACTCAATCGACCTCATGTCAGGTGAGGCAAGACTTTAGGCGTTACGAAGAGCAATGTAATAACTGGCCCGACTTCTTCAATATACGATTCTTAGACCACAAATCAGTGTGAGGTATTGAGGAGCTCAGCAGATATCTAGTACATGTGAGTGATAAGTACATTTGATGGGGCCAAAGGAAACACGAACCTAAAGGCGCACATGGCACAAAACTAATAAACTAATGTACTTTTTCGCATTGTGAACAAAGAAAAAAATACATCATAGAAAACGTTTTGCGGCTCGTAACTAGAACCCGTTAAAAGTTAGAGTTGATTATGGTTTAATTAAGTTGTGCAACTCCTGAAAATCTCCATTATGTGTTTTTAAATGAAATCAAGAGAACTTACAAAGTTTTAAAGATATGCAAAGTAACAGTTTAAGGACTTTGCTTAAATTATTAATTAACTTGACTCTCATTTTGAGTCTGAATCTTAAATATTACTTGAGAATCAATTACTAAATAATATTTGGCTGTAATAATTTATCAATCGTTGCCATACTGCTTAAAAAATGCAGCATGTAGATTAAACTGAAGTCTGGTTACCTTAAGACAGACTGCAGCACATCTGGCAGCACTGAGCTGAGGGCTTTACCATTTGGGGCGTGGCCTTGCTACAGTAAAGATTGCGAAAACGAAGCGCAATTTAACTAGCTGTCAGCTAGCATAAACTTTGGCTGGGGCGTGAGGAAATGCGTGCACTGCGAGAAATAATCAAGAACTTTAGTACCTATTGAAGTTTTACTGGTTTTAAGTGTGAAACTCTTGTTTCAAGCATTGATTTGTTAAATATGCAATGTCTTAAATCCGGGTTTGAGAGAAATACAATTGGAAAAATCGAGTGCTAATTCTCTCAATCTTTTTCTCTTTAATCTAACGACAAGACTTTATATACTAGATTAAATTAATTTTGGGCTTAAATCATCTTTCATTTTTCTTGGTTTATATTTTGTTCCTTTTGTAATTGAATGCCAGAATTCATCAACATTAAGAACTTTTATCTGAACTTAACTAGAAATTATGCTTGCCTCAAGCTATACGATTGTTTCATTTACGAATGCACTTGAAAAGAGTTTGTCTTAGCAGCGTTTTCTCTCTCTCTCTGTGTTGTAAAAGAAAATAAAAAATTAATAAAGACAAGTATAAGACGGCTTAAGTGTGCTTTACTCAATGAGCTGGACACTTTAGTCTCTGGTTCTCGCTCTACCGAAAAGCTCTCACTTCATTGTGAACAACTCCCATTTTCTGTGTCTCGCACAGACAACTTGGAAAACTCTTAAGCTTCAAAGTATCGACATGGCAAATTTTTGGTTTCGCATCCTCTTTTTTTTTTAACTTGAGATTCGTGCGTGTGTGTGTGTAAAGGTCAGTGTAATAAGCTCTGTGATGACTATGTAAGTTGGTTAGCTGGGGCAGCTGGACAAAAAAAAACATACAATAAATCATAAAATAGGCAAAGCCCCAGACCTAGCCCGCAGCAAATCAACTGGGAGAAGGGTGGACTGGGGCTATAGGTGTAGCAGGAGCAAAAGTCGCACACATGCGACCAAATGCGAGCGCGTGTCTGGTCACGTCTGGACACGTCGTCGCCGTCGCCATCGCCATCGCCATCGCCATGGTGTTTTGTTGCTGGAGACGGTGGCGCCATGTAGGCAACACCAATAGCAACAGCTACAACCAGCCATCAGGCAAGAAAAATAACAAGGCAAGAAAAGGAATGGTTGATGTGACTGGAGCAGGCAGTAGGCAGGCGGCAGTGGCAACAATTCATCAATGCCTCGTACGACGCGGCGTATGCGTACAGAAAACAAACCAAAAACCAAAAAACCAAATCAAAATGAAAATGCCCCACAGCGGCTGGGAAATGGTCCCGAAAATGAGAGACAAATCACATGCAGCGAAATTCACAATATCATCGAATTTTATTTGTTAGAATATCATATAAAGAACACAGTTACACATTAGCCCCAATGCATAAACAACTTCGATTTTAACTTCCAAATTTTCAAAAAAAAAAAACACCAATTTGTGAATATATAAGGCTGGCAATATCTGCAGTAGATCGGTCAGTTAAATTTGGATTGAGTCATTAAAATTTTGAGAATATAAGTAGGAAAAACCCAAAGGTTGAACCAAGACCTTGGCTCAAGGCTAGTTAGCAATGGGTTCATGCACCGAACCTAAATGGCGGGTTCGAACCTTAAGCCAAACATAACTAAGACTAAGAATAACAAACTTTCGAAACGTGAACCAAAACGAGATTGTGTATCGTCTGTTTAAATGGAACATAAATAAATATAAATTCTGTATTTGGTTGTTAATCTTTACAATTTTTTTGACAAAAACTTTGTAACAGCTGGCGAAATGTAAGCGAATTGGTTGACGAGAACGTCTTGACAATGAATTGAAAAGTGCCGCGGCACGAACCTAAAGTAGTTGAGCTAAAATGCCCCACCGTAAGGGGAGGTAGGGCAGAGATTTTGATTTCAACTGACCGAAATGGCTAAAACGCTGATTGGCAGCAAACACACACACACACACACACACACACACACATGCGCATAAATACTAAATGATTGGCAACATAAAAAAAGAAGTGAAAAAGCAGAATAAAAGAAGGCAAAGCAAAAAGACAAATGCCACATAAAATGGCCGCAGAACGCCGAAGGATGCAGGCGGCGCGCTTCAAAGCGAATCCGCGGCGACCCTTAGGCGGCCATTGCCACCTTGTAACCCAGCAGGATGTGGAAGGGAGTAAGGGGCGGGGGGTTGTGTTAGTGGGTTAGTGAGTGGGTGCTGTAGCGTAAGGGTATGGCTATGGGTCCAACGCTTGATTGATTTCTACAACTTTGTGCCAAGTTCTTTTCGCTTTGAGGTTCTCTTCCTTTTTGTTGTTTTTTTTTTTGTTATTTCTGTCGAATTGCTTCTTCTCTCCAGTGCTGTTTGTTGCTTTTGTTGTTGTCATTTTGTTTCAATTTGGTGCGGAATTCGGCAGAACACAGAAATCAGTACTTGGAGCAGAGCAGGAGTGCAGTAGCAGGAGGAGCAGAAGCTGGAGCTGGAGCATTTGATGTAAGTAATAGAATTTTAATAACTGAACTTAAGACAAAGACTCGCAGCTGAATGGAAATTGGAGCCATTAAAAGGGCCCGCCAGAAACCTATTAGCCAAAATAAGCACAGCAGAAGGAGGCAGTGTAAGGAGCTGTGTTATTTGGCTCACTCGAAAGTTTGCTAATTATGGTTTTAATCGATCAGGCGCATCGATGGATGGCAGCCTGCGCCTTTGGCTTTGCCTCTGCCTTTGCTTCTTTGCCTTTGCCTGGCGACCTGTAATCAAGCCATC